CAACATGCTTCTTGTCACTGTCCCACAGCAATGGACTTGGTGTAGTAGCCGATAACAACACGCGTGAACTCCTACTGATGGTCAAAAGCTGAAGTTTATTGGTGGCATCAGACTTTATACACTGAGGGTCATATGGGATAAGGGAGGAATTATTGAGTTTATCAAAAAACCCATCAACTGTTTTTATACTCTTCTTTGGAACTCGTTTTGTTTTGTATATTCTACCAAGTGTTCTCATTCACATGTGGTCCACTCAACTGTTCTCATACAAATGATATCCAATCAGTTATACAAAAGGTAGCCATTGGGTTGTTATACAAATATCATCCATTCAATTGTAATCCTGTGCTCACTGACCTTCTAGGGGCACAATGTCCTCCTACACTTGTAGTGGTGGCAATGACAGCAGGTGTCCCTGTTGGTGTCCACCCATGATGGCACGGTGGGCACACTTCCCCACCCCCAGATCTTTAAAAGAAAAAACATGTTATAAGCAACTATGATGGCACACTGGTATAGCTAACAGAATTGGCATTAACCAGACCTAGAATACTCGCCAGCTATTGACTGCTTTTCTCCCAGGAGTGTAACACTTGCCTAGGTACAAGACAACCTAGGCAGTTGTCTATAGCTGGATTTTAAAAATGATTTTTTTTCAAAAAATTATTTATTAAAAAGAAAGAGAGATCTTCCACCAACTGCTTCATTCTACAAATGGTTGGAATAACCAAGGCTAGACCAGGTCAAAGCCAAAAGCTTCAAACAGATCTTCTTTGTGGGTGGCAGGGATCAAAACACTTGGGTCATCTGCTGCTTTCCCAGGCACATGAGCAAAGAGCTGAATCAGAAGTAGAGCAATTGGGGCTTGAAGTGGCTCCCCAATTGGATGCTGATGTAGTAAGTGGCAGCTTAACCCAATGTATCATAATGTAAGTGCCAGCATCCCAAATTGATGCTGGTTCATATCTTGGCTACTTTACTTTCAATCCAGTTCTCTGTTATGAAATGGAAAGCAGTGCAGGATGGCCCGAGGCCTTGGGCCCCTGCATCATGCTGGGAAACTCAGAAGTTTCTGGCTGCTGGCTTCGGATCAGCTCAGCTCTGCCCATTGCAGCCATGTGCGGAGTGAACCAGTGGCTGCAAGACCTCAGGGTCTGGCACGATGGCCTAGCAGCTAAAGTCCTCGCCTTAAACATGCTGGGATCTCATATGGGCACCAGTTCTAATCCTCGCAGCCTTGCTTCCCATTCAGCTCCCTGCCTGTGGCCTGGGAAAGCTGTCGAGGATGGCCCAAAGCCCTGGGACCCTATGCCCGTGTGGGAGACCTGGAGGAAGCTCCTGGCTCCTGGCTTCGGATCGGCACAGCACTGGCCATTGCAGTCACTTGGGGAGTGAATCATCGGACAGAAGATCTTCCTCTCTGTCCTCCTCTCTGTATATCTTCCTAATAAAAATAAATAAATCTTAAAAAAAAAAGGCTGGTGCTGTTAATAAACTTCAGCTATTGACCATCAGTCAGAGTCCACGCGTGTTATTATCATCTCCATGCACCAAGTCCATCGCTGCAGGACAGTGTCACCACCAGTCATAGTACCAAGCATGGAAACAGAAAAATTAACTCATGTAATTTCCCCCAGAACAACCCCTATGAAGAAGGTTGTTTTACTATAATCATTCCCACGCTGTCAAACAGAACATGGAGGGCAAAAGGAAGGTGACAAATTTGCCCCAGATCACATGACTTACATGTGCTAGGACTGGGGTTTGAATGCAACATGCTGTCGCCAGAGTCCAGCCTCCCACACAGCCTGTCACTTGAGAGAGGTGTGTGATTTTCTGGGAATTGGATGGGCTGAGATGAAGCACATTGTCCATACAATGGCAAAGGTGTAACAAAGACAGTCCATGACTGGAAAGCAGAGGAAGGCAGCCATGCTGGCATAGCTGCCCAGGTCCAGAAGGGCCGCTGCCATGATTACCACACATACTTGGCTATGGAATCTTGGTTTTGGAAAGATTTAAAGGGAAAGCAGTAGAAGGACTCGCTCACAGGCACCAGTGTGCATGATATGGAGGTGGGTGGGTTTCCTCTCTCTGGACCCCTTCACTATTTCCCTGCCCTGCAGTCGAGCTGTAGTCCAGTGGGTGCTCCTGCCCTTTCATTTTCTTGCTAGCATGGTGTCTGAAAGCAGGTTCGGGGCTCCGTCTTCTCTCTAGGGCATCCCTGTTCTGCTTGTGCAACACCAAATTCATCAGTGTCCCGGCGCTTCAACTTGGTGGTAAACACCTCGCCTGGAATCTTATTTGCATTCCAAGTCAATGAGATTAAATCTCCCTAGACAGCATTAGATATATTTTTTAACAGTTAACTAACTTATTTTTTGTATTTTTATAGTTCCTACATGGTAATTAAAAAAATGACATTCAGGCAGCAAAACTGGCCTCTGCTCCTTATTAGTTCTGTCCTGAAAGCTCTAAATCATTTTTAAAAGTATTACTACTAAATATACTGCTTCTGATAAATTACTCAAGCTCTTTGACGTTGAAAAAAGCCATGGTGGGGGCTGGGGGAGAGGATGGCAGGGAGGGATCTTTGGTGCTGTCAGCTCTGCTTTCTCCAGGCTCTGGCTTTGCGGGGGGCTGGTTGGGTTGGGGTTCTCTGTGCGCTCTCCAACTGGGTCCTCCTACCCCCAATGGGATTTTATTTTTAGTTCTTTTTTTAAAAAGATGTATTTATTTATTCGAAAGGCAGAATGACAGAGGAGGAGAGAGATCTTTCCCTATCCAAATGCATGTATTTGCAGGGTGTTGCCAGGCCAAAACCAGGAGATGGGAATTCCATTTGGGCTTCCCATGTGGGTGGGTGGCAGGAGTCCTGAATTCTTGGGCCATCATCTGCTGCCTCCTGGGTGCACTAGCAGGACGTTGAATAGTAAATAGAGTAGCAGGGTCTGAAACCAGGCCATGGGGGATGGGATGTAGGAGTTCCAAGCAGTAGGATGGCTCCACCTACTCTGGCTGTGCCACATCCCACCTCCCCATGCCAACTGAGCTACCTTCTCTGCGGTTTCCCAGTTCCAGGGGTGTCACATTGGGAGGGGGGGTGCAATGAGCTCATGTAAGCAAAAGCCTTTGTCAACCGCAAGGCACAATTGAATGCCAATTATAACCGCTGTTGTTATTCTCACCACACTCCAGGGAAGCCCTGAGCCCCCACCCCCATCCCAGGCAGGACAGCCCCCGGGGAACTCTGAGGCTAGACGGCCCCTCCCTCGTGGGCAGAGGCTCCTGGCACTGCGGTGGTGGCCCTCTGCTCAGAGGGGAGCTGTTACTACTACCTCTCGCCCTTCCCCCCCTCAGTAATGGCTTTCCCAGTTCTTCCTGGCTTCGGGGGACCTTCCTTCGGAAGGAAACGTCCTCAGTTGCAGTGAAAGTTCTCGACCAAGAGCCTGAAGCCGTGGCCTCCCGGGGGCCTCTCAGCACACCCGCCCCCCAGCCCGAGTGCCCGCCACGGAGCCAGGCTGCCCCGGAAGGATCTGAGCGGTGGTTTCCGAGAATTGTCTCAACAGCTGCTGGGGCTCCTCGGTCATCCAGCTCCCCACCCCGCCACTCCACCTCACAGGCTTCCCTCCCCAAACCCAAGTCCCTCTGGACGTGCTGGAGCCCTGCCGGCGGGGCCCCAGCTGCTTGGGTCTGTTTCAGAGCTGCTCTTCCGGATTGTCTGCTACCCCCAAGACGTGGGAGTCCACAAGGCCACGGGGAGCCCCTCAGGAAGCTGGGTGTGCTGTGGTAGCCTGGGCAACCACCTTAGCCCCTCTATCACCAGCTTGGTTGGCAAGAAAAGACCAGTAAAAGCTCAGGATTCCAGTAAATCAACTGGGGCCAAAAGGGGGCAGCAGGAGGAGGGAACACAACTTATTCTTTATCTCCCCTCATCCCGAAACCAGCCCTGGTGCGTCGGGGAGCAGGGCCTAGTCGCCCACGCCCTCCCCACCCCAGCCTGCAGTACCCTCCACCCCCAAGCTCCAGGGCCCACTTGGCCAGTACTCCAGGAAGAGGGAGGTCAGCAAAGGAGCTTGTCTGCACTTGATGGATAGCCCTGAAGAAATGTCAGGCACTTTCCTTCCCCGTGGGGGAGGTGAGGCTGCAGCCACCTCTTCCCTGCATTCCTGCCTGCCTGCCTTGGCGGGGGAGGAAGGGGTGGCTGAGCAGTTCCAGGAGGGTCCTGGTCCCAGCTGGGCAGTGTTTTGCAATTTGTCCTGTTTGTCCACCCAGGGACCTGTGGGAGGGCAGGGCAAGGGGCGGTCCCCAGGGCTCCACCCTGTTAGGGAGGAATTCCGAAGCTCCTGGAGCCCCCTCCTCACAGGAGGAGCCTCCTTCATGCCCAAGTTGTACAATTCCTATTTCACGCCAGTCGCTGGCTAAGGTAGCAGGTGCCAAGGTGTAGTCACAGAGCTGGGAGTCCCTGCGACTTGCAGGGGATGCAGGAGGCTAAGGGTCTTGGTAATGAATGATTTACCGTGTCGACTGTGTTATTTGCTCCAGGATTGCAAAACCAGTTGGAGGCAAGACTGCCAATGCCAGGACATAAATCAAGGCAATGGCACCCCACTTGTCATGGCAGTCTTCACTCCCCCCCGTCTTGGAAAAGGCCAGTGTCTCTTTGGAATGTCCTAGATAAAGCAGTGCAAGATGCTAACTGGACAATGGGTTTATAATTATCTTAAAGGAGTTAATAAATAATAAGGATTTCGTCTACTGTGGGTGGCCAGGGCGCACGTACACAAACTCTTCTCGAGGCCCCTGAATGACTCTAAAGGGTGGATACGGGTCCTGGGGCTGAAAGTGGCTGCTGGGCCGGGTACTTCTGAGACGGTCACGTGGTCTCCTCCAAGCTGAGGGGGAACCTCAGCCTCTTTTAGATCCTGTGCTCCTAGCTCCAGGGGAGGAAGAAGGGTAGACCCTCTGGCTGTCCTCCCCAAGGAGAGACACTGTGATGGCAACAAAGGCTTTAATGGTCTTCGCTCACAGCAGGGGTGGGGCACCCAGGCCGAGGCCCCTTTGCTCCTGGGGGGGGGGGGGGGGGGAACGGGGACAGGGAGTGAGCATTCGGGGTTCATGATCTAGTATCCAACTTGGACTCCCCACCATTCGATTTACCGAGGAAGGTCTCATTGTGGCCTCCCCCTCCCACTAAAGGTCACAGTGCAGCCAGGGCGGGGGAGGTGACCTGGATGGAGGAAGAGGAAGACTGGGAGTCCGTCTCCTAACCTGGCCTCAGGAGGGCCAGGAGTCAAGTGCATGTATGTGCCTTGCGAGGGTGCCACCGTGTGTGACCGTGCTCTTGGGCGTAGTCCTGTGACCTTGGAGTGCTGCTACCCCAGTCCTCTCCGAGGTCACACCTGGCTGTTTCTGACGAGGTCAGCACACTCGTGCTGTCCGGACCACTTCTGCGTCCCATGCTTTGGCAATGGTGGGGCAGCTGTCGAGGAGGCTGAGGCGTGGCATCTCTGTGCCCTCTGGCACAGGAAGGGAGGCATGGGGGGGCAGGAGGGGAGGCAGTCAGCCTCGAGTGCCACTCCCCCGCTCCCCCAGCAGCCAGTAAGTGCGCACCTTGCCTTTGCCCTGGAGGGAGAAAGAAGAGGAGTTTGGGGTAGGGAACGGTTTGAGAGCCTAGGTGGGAGTGGTAGGAGCCCCTCCCCCTGCGGCTCCAGGTGGGGCCAGGACAGGGGTTTCCTCGCCTACCTTCATTTCTACATCCCCTCGAAGCTCCAGCTCAAAACCATCAAACTCCTCGAGGACAGCCTTGGTCTCAGAAGACAGGTGGATCTTCAGGGCTGGGAAGGACGGGGTGGGATGGTGAGGGATGCGGAAAAGGCAGCAGGAGCTGTGGGGCAAAAGGTGTCCTCCTCTCTTCCCTCTGGCCCAGGAAACCTTCCACGCTCTGACACGTCCTGCTCCTCTATGTGAGAGACCACAGCAGCCTCTCCTTCACAACTCTCCAAAATGCAGTTCTGCTATGCTGGCCACTAGCCGTGCTCGCCTCCTTTGAATAATACACTTTGAGGCCAGCCCTGTGACACCAAAGTTTAGTCTGCTGCCTACAATGCCAGTTCCTCATAGGAGAATGGCTGCTCCTTTTCCCATCCAGCTCCCTGCTGGGAGCACCTGGGAAGGCAGCAGAAGATGGCCCAAGTGCTCGGCCCTTGCGCCCATTTGGGAGAGCTAGGGGGAGTTCTAGTCTACTTCCTGACTTTGGACAGCTATTGTGATCATATGTGGAATGAAGCAGTAGATGGAAGCTCTCTCTCTTTATAAGTTTACCTGTTAAATACATTGAAAATATATATTTTTTAAAGCCCCTAAGTTGCACTATACTCATCTTTTTAAAAGATTTATTTACTTTTATTTGAAATATAGAGTTAGAGAAGTATCCCATCTGTGGTTTCATTCTTCAAGTGGCCATAGTGGCTGGAGCTGGGCCTATCTAAAGCCAGGAGGTTCTTCCGGCTCTTATACCTTCTTCCTTCTGCTGTTTTACTGGACCATTAGTAGGAAGCTGGATCAGAAGTGGAATAGCTGGGACTCGAACTAACGCCCATATGGGATGACAGCACTGCAGGAAGAGGTTTAACCTACTATACCACAGCACTTGCCCTTACCCCCATCGCTCTCTCTCTCTCTTTTATATTGGATAGTCAGGTTTACAGAGCAAAAGAGAGAGAAAGCTCCTCCGTCCACTGGTTTATTCCCCATGTATCCCAAGGCCACAGGCAGGGAGCTGGAAGGGAAGTGGAGCAGCCAGAACATGAACCGGCAATCATATGGGATCCTGGTAGATGCAAGGAGAGGACTTTAGCCACTAGGCTACTGCGCTGGGCCCCCAGTACCCACATGGGACTAGAGGCTACCACACTGGATCAAAGAGTTGGGATGATGAGAGGTAATCAGAAAGCTTCTAGGCAGCAGGTGGCACACAGGATGTCCCCGGAGGTCACCGCTGGGCTGCTGTTCAACCCAGTGCTCTCATTTTGTGCCTGGGGAACAGCAGCCCAGCGATAAAGCATGGCTGTTTCCCACACCTGCTTTTTGTCTGTTGCCTGAACTTATGTCCCTGTTCCTTCCAGGGTCTGTGATGGTTGAGTGACTCCTGAGAATGTGCTCTTGTGAGGTAGGGGTGCTCAGCAAGAGACCCCCCCACCCTGAGGATCCAAGCCCATGCCCGGGGAGCCCCTGCTGCACCAGGCCCCTTGCATCTCCCAAGTAGCCTTTCTCCCATGCTTGCAGCTTGGATGTGGTCCACACGAGCTCCCCAGCTAACTGCAGATCAGTGCCATCGTAGTGCCCCCATGGCCTGGGACTTGGTGATTGCTGAACTGGGCTGGGTACAACATGGCGGAGGCGGGGGGTAGATGCCAAATAGAAAGCGAAATGGAGGGATGGACTGGGAGCAAGCATGCCCTAACTCCTACTGTGTGCCAGTGACTGGGCTAGGTCTTTACAACCCTGATATAAGCATCATCTCATGGGAACACAGCCACAGGGCAAGCACACGCTAGGGGTCAAGGCTTGGAGCTTGACACCCAGGGCCCTGACACCCAGGGCCTGGCTCAGCAAGAGACCAGAGGGTTTTAAGGTGGGATTCCTGCTGGAAACTCTGGCACATTGCCTGGAGATAAGCTTAAGCCACCTGGCTGAGGGGCAGCAGGGACCTGTTTCTGATTAGACTCAAGATGACATGTCTGTGATGAAGGACACAGAGTTCCCACTTTGGGACATGTTGATGGTACAAAAGCTGTATGTGTTCAGTGGAAAGTGCATCCGACCGCTGCTGTGGCTTATTGAGTTAAGCCACCACCTGAGACACTGGCATCCCACGTGGGTGCCGGTTCGAGTCCTGGCTTCTTCACTTCCGATTCAGCTCCCTGCTAGAGGATGACCCAAGTCCTTGGACCCTGCACCCACATGGGAGACCAGGAAGAAGCTCCTGGTTCATGGCCATTAAGGAAGACTGGCTCCGCTCTGGGCATTGAGGCCATACAGGGAATAAACCAATGGATGGAATATCTCTCTCTTTCTCTATATGTAACTCTTTGAAATAAATAAAAAATAAATCTTAAAAAAAAAAAGCACAGAGGCTTTGCATGTAGTGAATTTGCCTGGCTGGAAGCTAATAAAGGTTCCAGCATGCTTGATGCAGGCAGCTTCAGTGCCCAGTGGGTTGGGCACTGTTTGTCTCTGGACACAACCCCACGTGAGCCTAGGAGTGCCCATCTGTATGGTGAGGAGGGAACTGGGGAGAAGAGAGGGCTGGAATGGAATGAGGGGGCCAGTGGGCACAAGCTATCCCTAGACCCCCTGCCCGCCCCACTCACCCTTGGAGGGTGTCCTACCTTCCCCGTTGGACTCCATTCTCGAAGCTGTGTTGACCGTGTCCCCAAAGAGGCAGTAACGGGGCATCTTCAGCCCTACCACACCTGCACACACGGGTCCTGAGAGGACCAAGGAAGAGGGGGCTGTGAGTGAGGGGGAGAGGATTAAGGGAAGGGGGTAAATGCTACAGGAGAGAGGTCTGGGATGTGTGTGTGTGTGTGTGTGAGAGAGAGAGAGAGAGAGACAGAGAGAGCGTGCGTGCACAGGGGGCAAGCAGGGACTGCGGATCCAGGAACAGGTCTGCCTTCCACAGCTGCAGCCTGCCTGGTGTGGGGTGGGCGAGGCGGAAGCTCACCTGTGTGGATGCCAATGCGCAGGCGCAGCTGCTCCTGAGGCCGGTGGCGGATGCGGAAGGAGCGCACAGCGTCCAGCAGCGCCAGTGCCATGCGGGCCACCTCGCGGGCATGCAGCCGGCCGTTCCGTACCGGCAGCCCTGACACCACCATGTAGGCATCGCCGATGGTCTCCACCTGTGTGGGGGCGGCAGGGCCGGTACTCTCACATTGTCACACTCTGCTCCACGTTCCTGTTCTCCTAAGATCTCACCTTCCTCTGCCTTCTCCTCACCTTTTCTCACCTTGTCCATGTCTAGGTCTTGCCCTTCCCATCCTCACCCTCACCTTGTACACATCAAAGTTGTCAATGACGGCATCAAAGCAAGTGTACAGGTCATTGAGCAGGGTCACCACCTGGAAAGGAAACCACCGGGGGGTGAGGGACAGAGGCGTGGAGATGCTAAGCCAGGCCCACCCGCCTGGTCTGACACCCCAGGCTGAGAGTCCCTCATGCCCCAACCCCCAGCTCACCTGCATGGGCGTGCTCTCGGCCGACAGGGCTGTGAAACCCACGATGTCACTGAAGTAGATGGTGACGCTGTCAAAGGCTTCGGCCTGGACCGTCTCCCCGCGCTTCAGCTGCTCAGCCACCGAGCTGTGGGGTCAGGTCAGGACGGGCACAGGATCAGGGGACCAGGCAGGGCTGGGAGAGAGGTGTGCATGCGTGGCGGCGGCGGCACGGCAGGGCGCTCACTGAGGCAGAATCTGGTAGAGCAGGGCCTCGGCCTTGCGCTTCTCCTCCAGGTAGGCCTGGGTGCGCTCCTCCACCAGCTCCTCTAGATTGTTGGCATACTGCTCCATGCGCGACAGCAGGTTGTCCAAGATGTTGCTACTGTGCTCCCTGGGGTCGGAGGAGAGGGAGAGAGGAGCTACAACCCCCCCCCCCCGCCCCAACACATGCTATTGCAGTGGGTGTCAAGTGTGAACCAAGCCTGGGGTGTAGCAATGGTTTCTCCTTGTTGAACATGGATGAGTTAGTAGGAGACAGAGAGCTGGGGTTAGGCAGACAGGGGTATGTATGGACATGAGCCCCACTTGCACTTGCAAGCGAATGAAGGTGCTGGGCTGGAAGCTGCTGTGGAGTTGGGACAGGGGACTCAGGGCATGTGGCTCACTTCCTCTATCCACTATGGAGAGGTGGCTAGGGGATATCAGTTAGGTACAGGAGGGGGGTAGTTGCCTGTGGGGTCAGCTGGACACAGGGTATGTGCAAGGAGGGATTTAGAGGCTGGGGTAGGCTGCAGCAGGCTACACAGGAGGAAGCTGGGAGTGGCCTGCCTGTGTCCCAAAGTGGAAGGTGGGAATGTGGGGTGCTTGGTGACAGCAGTGATGGCAACCTGTTAAACTTGCGCAGCGTCACGCGGATCTGGTGGAAGGGTGGCCGCTCCTGGGGGTCCTCGGCCCAGCACCGCTGCATGAGCTGCCCCAGCTCCTCCAAGTGGCTCTGCAGGGCCAGCGAGGGCCGGAAGGGGGGCTGTTCACCCCGAGTCACACGCTCGATGATCTCTGGGTTGGTGGGGGTAGAGGGCAGCCAAGGGCTGGGATTAGCTGAGGGTCCAGCTGGGTCGGGGCTACTTTTAGGGGTCCCCCTTTCCAAGGCTGGGTGTGGCAGAAAGCACTCCCCTCTCACCTTTGGGGCTGAGGTCCAGACCCTCCACGTGGAAGACCCCACTCCGCAGGGCGATCTCCTGAAGGATGATACCAAAGCTGTAGACGTCGCCGGCCTGGGAGCCCCGGGCTGGGGGTGACGCCATCCGCAGGAGCTCGGGTGCTGTCCACAGCTTTTCTGTGGGTCAAAGGTCAGGGGTCATAGGGGCACATCGAGGCTGGGGGATACAGGGAGGATGTGGCTGTGCCTGGGGCGGAGCTGTCACAGAGGATCAGAGTCAGAAGAGACTTCAGAACCCGGCCCCCTTGTCTTGCCAGGGAACAAATGTGTGGGAACTCTGCAGCCAAGCCCATCCCTGCTGAGCTGTGTGGTGGCAGGAGGGGGGTGGGGGGGAGGGCTGGTGACTCACTGGCGTAGAGGGTGTGTCCTTGCTCTGGCTCCGGGTCCCTAAAGCTCTCAAGCCCATAGTCAGTGATCTTGAGTACAAAACGCCCATCTACCACGCAGTTGGATGACTTGAGGTTCCCATGGGAGCAGATGGCTCCGTTGTGTAGGAACAGCATGCCCTAGGGTGTTGGGGGACAAAGGTATGGGCATGAGTGGGGCTGACACCACACCTGCTTCCTCCACACAGCCAGCAGGGGCCCTCCGGTGCCTACCTTGACAATGTCATTGGTGAGTGAGTACCGGAACATCCAGTCCAGGGTGATGCTCTCATTCTCCAAGATGTCCTGCTGGGGCAGGGAGTGTCAGACTGCACCTTGCAGACCACGCCTTGCCCCCAGCCCCAACAGGGCACCGCCCTCCCCTGCTCCTGTTTTACAGCTGGGGGAAGGTTTGCTTGGGGTTGTGGGGCCAGCAAGAACTAGAAGCCAGGATTTCTGACCTCCCACCATCACTCCCCACCCTGTCACCTGCAGGCTCCCTCGAGGACAGTATTCGGTGAGGATGCAGATGTTGGGGGGATCGGTGCAGGCACCCACAAACCTGGTCAGGTGTTCGTTCTGCACATCTCGCATCTGCAGGTGGGGCGCCATCAGGACCTTCACAGGCACTCACTCCTCACCAACAAGCCCCCCATCCAAGCCGGAAACGCACCCTTCCTCTCTCCCACCTCACTGTCTGCAGAGCCCACCCCTCCTCTCAGAATCTGTGGACTATGTCCCCTAAAATGTCCACTCTCCAGGGTCCCTCTGTAGTCCTTTCTCCTATCCTAGGAGCCTGCCCATCACTCTATGCTTCTGGTCAACCTCGTCAGGCTACTGCCTCGCTTTCCCCCTCCCCCTATTACATGCTTCAGTTCGAACAGGACTTTGCGTGTCAGCTCAATGCGTTTCCGGTTCACACGTTTCACAGCCACAAGGTTACCCTGGGTGAAGAAGAGAGATGTTCACGGCTGCCCTGGGAACACCAGGTGCTCGCAGAGGCCTACCCCCACAGCCTTCCATCAGAGCATGACGCCCCCGCGCCAGGTCCTGAAGATCCAGGCCATCCCTGAGCCCACCTTATAGTATGCAGTCTTGGCAAAGAGCTGGAACTGGCCCTCCGTGGTCAGCAGGGACCCGTAATTGGAGCCTCTCTGAGGAGGTGACAAGTAGGAGGATGGTCAGGCCAGGGGTGCCTGAGTTCAGAACTTCAGCTCCCCACATTATCTTCTTGCTTCCCTCCTTAACGTTCCATATCAGGAAACCCCCTCTAAATTTACTTGCTTTATTAGTCTTATCAAGGGTGTCGCCACATATACTCTTATTTTTTGGCCTTTTTAAAAAATAGATCTTATTTATGTTTACTTGAAAGGCAGATTTACAGAGAGAAGGTCTTTCATCAGCTGGTTCACTTCCCAGGTGACTGCAATGGCCAGAGCTGAGCTGATCTGAAGCCAGGTACCAGGAGCTTCTTCCCAGTCCCACGTGAGTGCAGGGTCCCAAGGCTCTGGGCTGTCCTCCACTGCTTTCCTAGGCCACAAGCAGGGAGCTGGATGGGAAGTGGAGCACCCAGGATATGTACTGATGCCCATATGGGATGCTGGTTCCCCAGGGTAGAGGATTAGCCTGTTGCACCATGGTGCTGGCTCCTCTTTTGGCTTTTTAAAAAAAAAGCCTTCATTTTAGAGCCAGTTTGGGATGCAGTGAGTAAAACATCTGCTTGTAGTATCCCATACAGCAGCTGATGGTTTGAGTTAGCTTCTGACCCAGCTCCCTGCTAGTGCACCTGAAAGGCAGCCGAGGATGGCCCAAACACTTGGACTTCCTGCAAGTTATGCTGGTCCTGGCTCGGGTTTGGACCAGCCCGGGCTCTAGAGGCCATTCTGGGAGTGACCAGTGGACAGGAGTGCCCTCTTTCTGTGTCACTCTCCCCTTCACATAAATAGATCTTTAAAAAGTCTTTATTTTTAACTTGACAAATTACCCATATACATTTATGGGGTACTATGTAACATCTTGACATCCTTTGACCTCTGAAAGAGTTACTCTAATGGGAGGCCCTCCAGCTCTAATCATCTTCCAAGAGTCTCAGAGGAGGAATGTGACTCATTCAAGGTCACACAGAAAGGGCCAGCAAGAGCCAGACTGGAACCCCCCCCCCTCCCCCGCCCTGCATCCTTCGCCTCGGGCACTGCCCCCGGCACCCGGCTTCCCTCCTCCTTCCTCCTCAAATGCCAGTGGGCTCACCCCGCTCAGGGTTAGCCGGCTGCCTGCACTCCGCAGGTGCCTCTCCAGGCTGCTGGGCTGCACGTCCTCCCAGCGCACCCGCCACAGCTCCGAAGCCAGCTCCTTCTCCAGCTGCATCTTCCTGGAAGCACAAAGCTTGCCTCTGAGCCCTGAGCTCAGGATGGGGGTGCTCAGCAACCCCCTCCTCAGGGCTCCCTGAGGTCAGAGTGTGGGGGCGCTTTTCCAAGACTAAGTAACGGGTGCGGGGGAATTCTCCCTGGGCTGAGCCTTGGGAGACCTGGGTGAACCTTGCCTGTTGGGCACCTTGAAGCAGGCAGATCAGTGCCTCCACTATGGCAAGAGCGGAAAGCAGCACGGTGAGTGGGCGTGCCAGGCGCGGAGGGTACACTGAGCCGGCACTGATCTTCCGCCCTCCCGCCTGGCTCTCCTGCGTCATTACCGCATTAGCTAAGTCCTCGTGCTCTTTCATCTTAGCCTCCGCGGGAAAGCAGGAAAGGGGCTAATTCATCTCTCTTTTTCGCTCTACCCTCCTGCGTTCAGCACCTTGGACACCCAAGCCGCATCACCCCTGCTTAACTAACACGGGCTGCCTCCCCCTGAGGCCTGCGGGACAACAAGGGAATCGAGTCCCCAGGCCAAAGTCCATGTTCCTGGGATACCATTTCCCAACTCCTCTGGGACTTCTCTGCCTCCCTGCCCACACCCTGCCCCCAACCCTCCCTGGCCTCTCCCCTCCTCCTTCTCTTTCTTCTGTTCCAAGGCTGCTGCTTCTCTTCTCCCTCCTCCCTCCCCCAGGCCTCCGCATCTGCCTTCTGGGGCACTGCCACCTGTCTCCCCTGGCCCCATTTGCCATCCTCCCCCGCCGCCCCCCCGCCCCCCGGGCCATAGCTCACCTGTATATGAAGAAGGAGACGACCAGGATGCAGAGCAGGGAGAGGCTGCCTACCACAGCCAGCACCTCCAGGCTGGAAAAGTGGTCTGAAGGAGAGATGTGGGTTACACAGCAGAAGGCAGCAGCTGTCAGACTTCCAGCAAGAGAAGGGCAGCAGGAGCACAGGAGCACCCCAGCCCGGGATGTTCCCTGGGGAGAAGGGTGCAGCAGTGGCTCCAGCTGTGTGTGGGGAGGGGAGAAGGGTGCAGCAGTGGCTCCAGCTGTGTGTGGGGAGGGGAGAAGGGTGCAGCAGTGGCTCCAGCTGTGTGGGGGGAGGGGAGAAGGGTGCAGCAGTGGCTCCAGCTGTGTGTGGGGGAGGGGAGAAGGGTGTAGCAGTGGCTCCAGCTGTGTGTGGGGGAGGGGAGAAGGGTGTAGCAGTGGCTCCAGCTGTGTGGGGGGAGGGGAGAAGGGTGCAGCAGTGGCTCCAGCTGTGTGGGGGGAGGGGAGAAGGGTGCAGCAGTAGCTCCAGCTGTGTGGGGGGGGGAGGGGAGAAGGGTGCAGCAGTGGCTCCAGCTGTGTGTGGGGAGGGGAGAAGGGTGCAGCAGTGGCTCCAGCTGTGTGTGGGGGAGGGGAGAAGGGTGCAGCAGTGGCTCCAGCTGTGTGTGGGGAGGGGAGAAGGGTGCAGCAGTGGCTCCAGCTGTGTGTGGGGAGGGGAGAAGGGTGCAGCAGTGGCTCCAGCTGTGTGTGGGGAGGGGAGAAGGGTGCAGCAGTGGCTCCAGCTGTGTGTGGGGGAGGGGAGAAGGGTGTAGCAGTGGCTCCAGCTGTGTGTGGGGGAGGGGAGAAGGGTGTAGCAGTGGCTCCAGCTGTGTGGGGGGGGGGGAGAAGGGTGCAGCAGTGGCTCCAGCTGTGTGGGGGGAGGGGAGAAGGGTGCAGCAGTAGCTCCAGCTGTGTGGGGGGGGGAGGGGAGAAGGGTGCAGCAGTGGCTCCAGCTGTGTGTGGGGAGGGGAGAAGGGTGCAGCAGTGGCTCCAGCTGTGTGGGGGAGGGGAGAAGGGTACAGCAGTGGCTCCAGCTGTGTGGGGGGAGGGGAGAAGGGTGCAGCAGTAGCTCCAGCTGTGTGGGGGGGAGGGGAGAAGGGTGCAGCAGTGGCTCCAGCTGTGTGGGGAGGAGGGGAGAAAGGTGCAGCAGTAGCTCCAGCTGTGTGTGGGGAGGGGAGAAGGGTGCAGCAGTAGCTCCAGCTGTGTGTGTGGGGAGGGGAGAAGGGTGCAGCAGTGGCTCCAGCTGTGTGTGGGGGGAGGGGAGAAGGGTGCAGCAGTGGCTCCTGCTGTGTGTGTTGCGGGGGGGGGGGGGAAGAGGCAGAAGGTCACCTTGATTGCAGGCTGGATCCTCATTGTCAAAGCCACATTTGGGGATGTCGGGGGGAGGGTACCCCAGGGGCCAGGACAGTGTGCGCCCTGACACAGCCACCAGCTCTTGGGAAGTTCCATTGTAGTTCAGCACAACCTGTTGGACAGCAGGAGTGGTGGGTGGGCAGGGCCCCTTCTCTGCTTCCAGGACCTCTACCTGGGCAGTCAGTGTGTACCAAGCCCCTGCTGTCTGACTGCATACAGGGGGACCATCTACTCATACCCTGAGCATTAACGTCTAAGGATTTGAAAAACCACTGGTGAGATTCAGAAAGAAAATTCCATAGACTCTTTTTCTGCTTAGTCCTCCCCTGGCAGTATGATTTTGGTGGAAACACGCAGAAATTAAGGAAAGCACCTTCCTCCACGAAACCTTCCTGGGTGATGGATTCCTCGGGGCCTCGAGCTCCGCCTGCCCCACTGTGTGGAGAGAGCTGGATCGTGTGTGTTCCTTGTGGCCACGTGAGGGAGAGGAGAGATGTGGGGTTCTCAAAGGCTGATGCCTATAAGCCGTCCCATCCTGTCTGCTCCCTCAGCGTGCAGCTGTGTCCATTTTATCCAGGGCCCCTGAGTGACCGCATATGCAGGCTGACTACAGGGCAGTCCCCCTGTGGCCAGCATGGTGGTGTGCAGATGAAGTTGCCACCTGTGACACCAGCATCCCCTTTGAGTGGGAAAGCAAGTGCCTAGATCCCCACCACCTGTATTAAGAGGCCTGGATGGCGTTCCTAGCTCTTGGCTTCATCCTGGCCTGGCCCCGACCAATATGGTCATTTGGGGAGTGAACCAGGGAATGATAGATTTGTGTCCCTTTCTCGCTGTAACTTTCAAATACATAATAAGTCTTTTAAAAAGCAGGAAACCAGCGAAACAGCTCAACTGGCTAATCTTTCACCTTTAAGCACCAGTGTCCCATATGGACACTGGTAAATGTCCCAGTTGGTCTACTCTTCTGCTTTCTGCTTATGGCCTGGGAAAGCAACAGAGGATGGCTCAAAGCCTTGGGACGCTGCATCCATGTGGAAGACCCAGAGGAGGTTCCTGGCTTCAGGTCGGCTGAGCTCCAGCTATTTTGGACATTTGGAAAGTGGACAAGCAGATAGAAGCACCTCTCCCCAAATCTGCCTTTCCAATAAAAATAAAATAAAGTCTTAAGAAAGAAAAGCAGAATTACAGAGAGATAGAGGAATACAGAAAGAAATCTGTCTTATGCTATTTCACTCCCCAAATGGCCACAACTACCAGAGCTGGGCTGGTCTGAACCCAGGAGCTTCCTTCAGGTCTCCCATGTGGGTGGAGGGGCCCAAGGACTTTGCCCATCTTTTGTTGTTTCCCCAGGTACATTATCAGGGAGTGGAGGAGATCAGCAGTGGAGCAACCAGGACTGGAACTGGTGCTCATGTGGGATGCCAGTGGCTGCTTTACCAGTTATGGCCCCATCCTTTGGGCACACACACTTACCCGGAAGGCATCAGTCTCAGGGTCCATATCCCAGAGGGAGAAGTCGGTCTCCCGATCTCCATTGCTGTCGATTTTCAGGTATCCCATGACACCTGTGGGCAAGGGAATGGATGGCTGTGCTCCAAAGGGGTGCAGTTCTTCATCTCTACACCAACCCCCCCCCCATCTTCCACAATAAGGTACGGCTACGGTGGGCACTTGCTGGAGGGAAGGAGGGCCTGCAGGCAGCCATGGTGGTTCCTCACAGAAGGGGAAACGGGTGGGGTGAGCCAAAGAGCACCTGTGCAGCAGGGCTGCAGGTTTCTGGCCAGCCTGGAGCTGAGACTCCTGGGACTTAGCCCCCTGGGCAGCGTATTCTAGCCTTTCCACCCCAGGCTTTGACCTTGAAAGCTTCGATTCCACATCCGCTGGGTGATGTCCTCCCCATCGGTCACAGTTCCCCCACCTGCCAGAGTCTCCATCACCGCCTGCATGTAGAGCAGGAGTCCGTCGTGGAAGGATGCTGGGATGATGTTCACCTGCAGGGATGAGCAGTACTTGGCTGGGGTGCGGGTGATGCATGCAGGACCCCGAGCAGGATGTGGGGGGAAGAGAGTAGGAGGACCTAGGGATTTAGAAGGGGAGAGGAGAAACTGACTCCTCCCCACCACACACACACACCCACATTACAGACTTAAAAAAATTTTTTTTTTTTTTATTCATTTGGGGTTGACATGGTGCCTTAATCCTGCAGCTGCCATTGCTATCATCCCATATGGATGTCTGTTCCAGGTCTGGTGGCTCCACTTCCCATCCAGCTCCCTGCTAATGCACCTGGGAAAGCAGCAAAAGATGGCTCAAGCCCTTGGGCCTTTGAACCCCACATCGGAGACCAGGAAGAAGCTCCTGGCCTCAGATTGGTTCAGCTCCAGCTGTTGTGGCCATTTGGGGAGTGAACCAGCAGATGGAAGATCTCTCTCTGTCTTTCCACCTCTCTGTAAATCTATTTCCAGTAAAAATAAGTAAATACATCTTTAAAAATATATATATTTATTCGAAAGAGTTATACAAAAAGAAAGACAGAGAAATCTTTCATCCACTGATTCATTCCCCAAATTTGTAGCAGCGACCAGGATCAGGTTAGGTCAGGATCCAGGAATTTCTGGGTCTCCCACATGGGTGCAAGGACCATGCATTTGGACCATCCTCTGCTGCTTTCCTGGTGCGTTAGCAGGGAGATGGATTGAAAGAGGAGCAACTGGGACTGGAACTGGCGCCTAGACTGGATGCTGCTATTGCAAGCAGAGGCCTTGCTAGCTCTGCCAGAGCCCTGGCCCCACGAGGCTTTCTTTAAGAGATGCCGCCACTCTGAATCCTGCCAGGCAGACAGAGCAGGGCGGCCCCATTTTCCCATGAGGACCTGGAGCCTGAACTTGCCACCACACCCTTCCATCCATCACCAAGAGAGACCCAAGCACACGAGAAGGGAGGAGGAGAGCCCGGGGATACAGTATGGCTGGAAGAGCGGATGAAGACCCAAGAGGCCCACGAAGTGGGGGGCCTACCTACCAGGCCATCCTCCACGGTGAAGTTGAACTGCTCACTGGCCTTGTGCTTCAGCTGCCGCAGAAATTCCGAATACTCGGGATTATCTGGCTCTTGATATGTAATGATTTTGGCAGCCTTCGAGGAAGGGGTCCAGACAGAGGCATGTTAGGAGCTGACTCCAGTCTTCCTGGTGCCTTGAAACCTCACCTCCCAGCCCTGCCTTCTGCAGAGCTCAAGGTTAACCTGGACCCTCGCCTGCTCCAGGGCAGGACAGCAGGAGAATTCTCCCCAAGTCCTGCCTGCTCTGTGGGTCTTGGCTGGCCTCCCCCCTCATATCCCAACTTATACCTTTCTGCTTCTAGCTGGCCCTGGTGCTTTTCATGCCACGTGCCCAGCCCTCTGCCTGTGGTTGCCTAACTCCCCCCACGGAGTGTGTCTGGAATTCCTACAGACACTGGGGACAAGGGACCAGTTGCTCAGAGCCCCACTGGCCAGGCTTCAAACATGGACAGACCCTTACCCGAAAGGCCTGGCGGGCACTGACATCTTGCCCGTCCCCTCTCTGCCAGGGCTCGTGAGGAGCAGGACCCTGTATCCCCTGCAGGCTCTGGCCAAAGAGGTCCAGGTGGAAGAAAACGTAGTCTCCCCCAGTGAGGCCGGCATCCAGGGCCAGCAGCATCAGCGTTCTGAAGGTATCCGGAGAACTGCAGATGTAGATGACTGGAGAGGGAGGGAGAGGGAGAACAGCTGGGTCCTGGACAAGGTGAAAAGCTAGGGCGAGGTGAGGGGCCCAGCGGTGCTCAGAACTGGGTAGGAGAGATTTCAGCAAAATGAGAGGAACATGAGAAAAGTGAGCAGGAGAAGGGAAGGAGCATTGAGAGACTGGGGGAGAGTGGGGCAAAGGACTTGGAAGGAAGGGAGGAAGAGGCAGAGAAGGGCCAGCTGCCCGGATGTGTGAGGGGAGCCGGGGGAGGAGGGGAGAAGGCTGGCTGCGGGAGAGGCCAGAAAATGGAGGGAGTGGGAGGACAGGGATACACCTAGTGTTCCCAGGTGGTCCTATCCGCCGAGGGTAGGGACTAAGGGGGAGAGGGGAGCAGAGCAAGCAGGTAGGTCCAGGGTGGAAGGGATGAAAGGGAAGCCCCCCCATCCCTGGCACACAGCGGGGGTGCGCCTCTCACCTCGGCCTTTGTGGCGCACGGTGCGCAGCAGCAGCGTGTAGTGGTCATGGTCGCCCTCGGCGAATTCGAGGTGGTCCACGGTGATGTTAAGGCGGTCACGGACGCGCATGTACAGCCCTTCTACCACGAAGAAGCAGGGCTGGTCATCCCCGGGCCGATAGGCATAAAGCACAAGCGCTCGGCGCTCCCAGCCCAGCCGTCGGTGCAACTTTGCTACGAAGTCACCTAACTTAGCGTGGCTGGGCCCTGCGCGGGTGGTCAGCGCGTACTCGTCCTTCGCACCGAAGCCCAGCGCCGGGGCTCCGGCCGTCAGCAGGGGCACACGCCAGTGCGCCGTGAAGCGGCCCACAGGGGCGGCGGCGTACACACAGCCCGGGCCCAGGAACAGGGCTGGCTTGTGCTCCCATTTGAGGTCCACGGCGGCCAGCGGCGCAGCGGTGTCGGAGCAGGCGCCCAGAGCGTTCTCGCTGCTGCCCAACACCGTGCGCACCGTCCAACCTGGCAGCAAGTCCCGCCGCGCCTGCACGTGCGCCAGAGCCAGCTCCACGGCCGGCCCCACGCGCGCCCACGACCACGGGTACGTGGTGTTGGCCAGCGGTAGCACCACGGCCACGGTCAGGTTTCGCGCGTGGCTGTCCCGGAGCAGCAGCAGCAGCAGTGACAGTAACAGCAGCAGGCACAGGCGGACGCTGAAGGAGTGCTGCTGGCCGGGCATGGCCTCAGCGGGCACCGCAGCATGCAAGCGCTTCCACCATTGCCTCGTCGGTCCCTTCGGGTTCAGCAGTGCGTCCCGGGCACCAGGCGCGCCCCTGAGGAAAGGAGCAGGAGCGAGACACGCTGTCTCTTGCAGCTGAGACGGGAGGGCGGACGTTCCGGGAACTGAGCGCGGAAGAGTGCTCGGAGGGCTGCGAGGAGCAGGTGGGCGCCAGGAGCAAGCGCTCCGGGCCCGCGAGGACCCAAGTGCGAGCTAGCGAGTGCCCGCCTGAGGGAGTGCGCCAGAGGGGCGTCCGGCCGGCTCCCGTCTTTGGCCACCGTGGCTGGGGCTGGGGGTGGACCAGCGAGGACCCAAGCCAAGCCAAGCCTAGCTGCAAAGCGTCCCTCCCTGCCGCTTCCCCTCCCTGGCTCCGTGACCCAAGAGCCAAGTCTGGATCTTTAACTCCTTCCTGCCCGCCACCAGCCCCGCGCGCTTCTTCCCGCGTCTGGTCCGAGCTGCGTCTTCTTTTACCGACTCAGCTGCCGGGCTGTGTGGAAGCGGCCCACCTTGTCCCTGCACTCTCTACCTGGCTCCCAGTGAGGGGGAAGGGGTTGGGGGTCTCGGCAGGAGAGGGTTGTGGAGCGCGTGGGGTCTCGGCGGGAAGGTGGCCAGGGTCTGGTAACGGCTTGGAAAGTAGAAGACGAGCGGAATCCTAGGGGCCCCGTCTGTCTGTGGCTCTCCTCGCGTCCCTGCAGGCGAGAAAGACGTGGCGGGATCCGAGCTCACTGTATTAGTTCTTTTAGGGGTTGCAGGAAGAGGGCAGAGCGGGAGGGGTGGTCAGGGACTTGAGCAGCTTCGGGGAGAGTTTGCTTGCAGGGGAGGAGGATTGCTCAAAGGAACTCCCGTGGGGGGCGGTGTTAGGACGACCGCCGGTCGAGGATTCCAGGGTGGTGAGGTGGGGGTGTCTGTGGCGCCGGGCGCGGAGCCGTGCTCTGTGAGGCCAGCCTGCCCTCTGACGGCGAGCGGGAGACACTGCCCGCTGGATCTGGGCAGCGAGGCGCCGCCAGGCTCACCGGCCCTGCGTGGCTAAGCCCTTCACGCGCTTTGTGTTCCTCAAGTGCGGAGGATTTCCGGAGAATCCTCTGCGCACCCAGCCCTCGTGCTGAGGGCACGCGACCGAGAGAGGCAGCCCGTGGCTTTGAGGCGCTCTCAGGGACCAGGGGCTGGGATTTGATTTTTTTTTTTTAAGATTTATTTATTTTTATTGGAAATGCAGATATACAGAGAGGAGAGACAAAAAAAGGATGATCTTCCGTCCAGTGATTCACTCCCTAAGTGACCTCAACGGCTGGAACTGCATCAATCCGAAGCCAGAAGCTTCTTCTGAGTCTCCCACACAGGTACAGGTCTCCCATGCAGGTGCAGGTCTCCCACGCAGGTGCAGGTCTCCCACGCAGGTGCAGGGTCCCAAGGCTTTGGGCCGTCCCATTAGAACCAGCGCCCAAATGAGATCCCAGAGCATGCAAGGTGAAGATTTAGCCACTGAGCCATAATTCCAGGCCTGATCACTCCGTTTTGTTTGTTTTGTTCTAGCTCAGCCTGTCACTACCCTCAGCTCTTCAGCAAACCAGCAGTTATTGCAGTTCCACAGGGGTCAACCCATCTATCCCCCACAGACCTGGTTCTCTCAGTGCTGGTTAGCATCATGGCTCAGCCTAATGTTACATATTCCGACACTCACTGGTGGGTACTTGTTCTAGCCCTGCCAGAGGCCCCTGTGACCCAGCCCTAGCTTCAGGTTGCGCTGGAGGGCTGTGGTGGGTTGATGCTGACTAGCCCAGTTCAGGTCTCCCACGTGGGCGCATTCGGTCTGACCTAGGGTGTTCCTCTGGTTTCCCTCCTGTAAGCCACCTGGTCTCAGCAGCAGGTGCCGGGAGAGGACTGCTTTAGTTTGTTCACATGGAGATGCCTGTAGATAGTCACATCGAGGTGTCCCTGGGTTATTGCTGGGTGGTTGGGAGCTCAGCAAGGACAGGACTAAAAAATGTGGTGCAACGATTGAGCTGTCAGTGACAGTGGACTAACGTTAGAGCTACAATTAGAAATATTACATGAAACACTTAAAAAAAGAGAGATTTGTTTATTAAAAAGAATTAGAGAGAAAGATGTGTCTATCCACTTTTCCACTCCCTATAGGGCCCCAAAGGCTAAGGCTGGCCCAGGTTCAAGAAAAGAATCTAGTACTCGAAACTGAGTCTCCCCCGTGGGTACAGGCGTCCAACCCCTCCAGGCCACCTGCTGCTGCTATCCCAGGCCATAAACAGAGAGCTGCATTGGAAGTAGAGCAGCCAGGACTCAAAACAGCACTTATGTGGGATGCTGGGACCTGCTTGCCGCATGGGGATCCCTAAGATTAAGTAGGGAAGCCAGTGTTGTGGCATAACTGGTTAGGTCTCTGTTGGCAATGCCAGCATCTCATATGGGCACCACTGTCTGAGTTCCAGCTGCTCTACTTCCCATCCAGTTCCCTGCTAGTGGCCTGGGAAAGCAGCAGAGCATGCCCCAAGTGCTTAAACAGTACCCTTGGAAGAAGCTCCTTTTGAGGGACCCTAAATGACATCAAATGGCTGCCCACATCCTGGGGTACTGGTGTGGTTAGGGTGCTGGGAGCAGCCCTCGCCTCCCGTCTCTGCTTTTCTCCCAGAAACAGGAAGAACAGAAAAGAAGACTGGATGCAGTTGTTTTATTCCATCCTAATTGGTGGTTCACAGGGGCATGCATCCTTCTAAAATATGGTAAGCGGCATAAAAAATAAATCTATTAAAAAAAAAAGACCTAGATAAAGGTCCTAGTCTCTGGGTTGGACTTGACCAAGACCTGGCCATTATAGCTATTTACAGGAGTGGACCAACAGATGAAAGATCTTTCTGCAACTCTGAATTTCAAATACATAATTTTTTTTTTTAATTTGGAAAGTCAGATATACAGAGAGGAGGAGAGACAGAGAGAAATATCTTCTGTCCAATGATTCACTCCCCAAGTGACCACAGTGGCTGGAGCTGAGCCAATCCGAAGCCAGGAGCCTCTTCTAGGTTTCCCATGTGGGTGCAGGGTCCCAAAGCTTCGGGCCATCCTCGACTACTTTCCCAGGCCACAAGCAGGGAGCTGGATGGGAAGCAGGTCGGCTGGGATTAGAACCGGCACCAATATGGGATCCCGGGCGCGTTAAAGGTGAGGACTTTAACAGCTAGGCTATTGCACCAGACCTATTTATTTATTTATTTGTTTGTTTTTAAGGAACAGCTAACAGATGTCATGGCAGTGAATTGGAATAAAGTGCATAAGAAACTACTTAGAATGAAACACAGACAAAAAAGAGTGAACAGGCCTAAAAGGGTGATTCAATAAAAATGAAAATTTTAAAATCTTTATTTAATTATTTTTAATTGGAAAGTCAGATTTGCAGAGAGGAGAAATAGAAAGATCTCATGTCCACTGGTTCACTCCCCAAGTGGCCACAATGGTCAGAGCTGAACTTATCCAAAGCCAGGAACTCAAAACCTCTTCCAGGTCTCCCACACGGATGCAGGGTCTCAAGGCTTTGGTCCATCCTCTACTGCTTTCCCGGGCCACAAGCAGGGAGCTGGATAGGCAGGGGAGCAGCTGGGATATGGACTAGTGCCTGTATGGGATCCCAGCAGATGCAAGGTGAGGGCTTTAGCCATTAGGCTAGGACACCAGGCCCAATTTTTGTTTTGCTTTGTTTTGTTTAAGATTTATTTATTTTAATTGGAAAGTCGGATATACAAAGAAGAGGAGAGATGGAGAAAAAGATCTTCCGGCCAGAGCTGATATAATCCAAAGCCAGGAGCCAGGAGCTTCTTCTAGGTCTCCCACACAGGTGCAGGGTCCCAAGGTTTGGGCCATCCTCGACTGCTTTCCCAGGCCACAAATAGGGAGCTGGATGGGAAGCAGACCAGCTGTGATTAGAACCAGCGCCCAAATAGGGGATCCCAGCGCTTTCAAGGTGGGGGTTTTAGCCACCACGCTGGACCATGGTTTTGTTTTTGTTTTAAGGAGACATGAGCAACATGAGGGCAAGAGAGAAGGAGGGTACCAGGAGAAATCTAGCACTTCCCTATGTAGAATCTAGGAAGCAAGGAAATAATAAAATCAGTATGTGAAGAAAAAATAGCCAAACATTTTAAAAAAAGTTATTTTTACACTTACTGGAAAAGCAGATTTACAGAGAGAAGAAAGACGAAGATCTTGCATCTGCCACGTCACTCCCCAAATGGCCGCAAGCTGGAGCTGAGCCGATCTGAAGCCAGGAACCAGGAGCTTATTGCAGGTCTCCCAGGTGCATGTAGGGCCCAAGGCTTGGGCCATCCACTACTTTCCCAGGCCACAAGCACGATGCTGGAAGGGAAGTGGAGCAGCCAGGACATGAATGGACACCCATATGGGATTCTGGAGCTTGCCTGGGGAATCAGCGAATTGAGTCATTACGCTGCCCCTTCTACCTCCCCCAGCTGTCAAGGAAGACATTTTTTCAATTACATCGCACAGGATGGGTGCTGTGGCACAGTGGGTTAAGTTGCCAGTTGGATGCCTGCACCCCATATCGGAGTGCTTGGTTGTGGAGTACCCCCTTCCTTCCTGCTGATGGGCTTGGAAGCCACGGGATGATGGTTCAAGTGCTTGGGTTCTTGCCATGGACATGGAAAACCCTGATGGGGTTCCTGTTCCTGACTTGAACGGGGACAAGTCCCAGCTGAGTGTTTGGGAAAGAACCTGGGGACAGAACCTATTGTTGTCTCTCTCTCTCTCTCATTCTATGTTACTCTACCTTCTGAATAAAAATGAATGAATAAACATGTAAGTAAGTGGATAACAGTTTAGATCACGGATCCAAGAAGCCAACAAATCACATGCGAAAAACAAAAAGAAACCCATATCTGGATCTATCAGAGTGAAACTGCAAGAAATTTAAGTCAAAGAGAAAAATCTTGGGCCCAGTGTCATGGTTCAGTTGGTTAGTTCTCCCCCTGCAAGCGCCAACAAATGGGTGCTGGTTTATATCCCGGCAGCTCCACTTCCCACCCAGCTCCCTGCCTGTGGCCCGGGAAAGCAGTTGAGGACGGCCCAAAGCCTTGGGACCCTGCACCTGTGTGGGAGACCTGGAGTAAGCTCCTGGCTCCTGGCTTTGCATTGGCTTAGCTATGGCCATTGTAGGCACTTGGGGAGTGAGGCAGCAAATGGAAGATCTCTTGCTGTGTCTCTCTCTAACTCTTTCAAATGAAATAAGTAAATCTTTTAAAAATGGTCAATCTAATGCTTAACTTAGTAAGTATTGATGCTTTGTGGAGCCTAAAATATATACAAAATTTATGGGCCTGGTGTGGTGGTCTAGTGGCTAAAGTCCTCACCTCGTAAGCGCAGGGATCCCATATAGGTGCCCATTGCGGTCACTTGAGGAGTGAATTATTGGACAGAAGATCTTCCTCTCTGTATACATGACTTTGCAATAAAAATAAAATCTTTTAAAAACTGTACAGGCAAAAGAGATCCAAGCTGGAAACAATCCAGAGGTATTTACACATGCCCCAGTGAGTTTATTACTATAAATAATAATAAGCCAGTTTGCTGATAGAAAACACGAAGAATCTCAAGTGAATGAAGCCAGACGAAACAGAATATATATGATCCATTTGTGGGAAATTCAAGAACAAATTAGCCTGAGTGATAGAAGCCAGAATGATAGTCGCCTTGGGGTCAGGGCCGGCAGGTTAAAGGAGAGTTCTGAGGCAGTTTAGAGGGTAACCCTTGAAAAGTGAAGGAAAAACAAACAAACAAAAAATAAATAAAAAAGAAAGAGCAGGCAGTTTCCCATTAACCAGAGGGGAAGCTGAGGAGGAATAAAAAACGTGACAGAATAGAAGGCACCCTCGGGGAGACAGAGCCCAGGGAACAGCACCACGTGAGTGCAAGTGCGGCTGGCCAGGCTAGGACGGGGCCGCTGCCGTCCCTTCCTCCTCCCCACTTCCTTTGCTCCCTTTTTCCAATTTGTCTTTCCACAGCCTGTCTCAATTTCCTCCCTAATGCCTCAAGCTTCCATCGTCTCATGTTTTCTGGAGTTGGTTGATGCCTTCCTATTAGGCTACGCTTTAAAGGATGATAATAAGTAAAAGGGATAAAAGTTGTGTCAATTTGTTAGGAGAAAGCATGGGTGGAAAAAAAAAATCCTTATTAGCAGAGGATGGTTTCGATCCATCGACCTCTGGGTTATGGGCCCAGCACGCTTCCGCTGCGCCACTCTGCTTTACAGTAACCTGCCCTCCTATTACTGTATTTATATAAAGTTCCGTGTTTGTTCGACATCCTGATTCTAACCTAGTGCCACCTACTGTCTGCTAAAAAAAAAGTCATTACTGCCATGCCTGTTCTTATTGGCCAATTCCTGGCACGGTAGGCGCTTTTTATTGGTTCAGAAGCCCGGTTTGCCATGGTAAACCAATAAGCAGAAGCGACAGAGCAAGGCGGGAGCCAATCGCAGCGCGTTTTGTTGGGACACGCCGGCAAGACGCCTTTCCAGTTGTCTGCTTCTCCGGGGGAAGGGGCGGTTGGTTCGGCCTCCATTGTTCGGTCCTGAGGGCGCCATGAGGTAGGGGGACGGAGGTGCTGGGAAGGTTTGGGGTTTCCGGCTGAAAATGTTGGGAAGGTGGGTCGAGAGCAGTCAGACGGCCGGGAAGGGCCGCGTGTCAGCGGCTGGCCGGAGTCCCACCAACTCCCCCGGTCCGGGCGGCCCGGGCCCGCAGGATGGAGCGGGCGGGCGGGCTGCGCTGGCGGGAGAGTCAGGGCCGGCGGGCCGGGGGATGTAGGGCCGGGGGGATGTAGGGCGGTGGGGCCGGGGGATGTAGGGCCGGGGGATGTAGGGCGGTGGGGCCGGGGGCTGTAGGGTCGGGGGGATGCAGGGCGGCGGGCCGGGGGATGTAGGGTCGGGGGGATGCAGGGCGGCGGGTCGGGGTGTCGCGGTGACGGGGCGGTGGGTCGGGGCTGCAGAGAGGAGTGGCGGGGAGGCCGACCACTGCGGGGTCCCGTAAACCCGTGTCTGTCTGCGTTTCCAGGGGTGACAGAGGCCGTGGTCGCGGGGGGCGCTTCGGTTCCCGAGGCGGTCCAGGCGGAGGGTGAGTGACGGCGGGGCGGGCCGGCAGGCTTTCCCGATGGCTGGGCATCCTGGATTTCCTTGGAGTGAATGATGTGGACTGTTTTTCTTCTCCCAGGTTCAGGCCCTTTGTGCCGCACATCCCATTTGATTTCTACTTGGTAAGTGCTTTGGGCACGGGTGGATGCAGACATGGTGGTGGTCAGCTCCACCCTGTTACCGCTCTTAGGGGTAGAAGGGATCTGTGCACGGAGTAAGGGGGTTTGAACTGACTTCATGTTGCTTGACACACACTTGGTTGTGTATCTGAAAGGCAGGTAGTTCTATGAGAGACAGAATTGTCTTACATCCGCTGCTTGATTTCCCGACGGCCACAATAACCGACAGTCCAGCACTAAATGCTGGTCTCCTGGTGGGTGCAGGGACCCGGACCTGCTTTCTCTGGGCACACAAGCAGAGACTCCAGCCTGACCCACTGCAACACAGAGCTGGCTCCTTTATAACATTTTTTTTTTTTAAAGATTGGTTTATTTTTATTGCAAAGTCAGATATATTTATAGAGAGAGAAGGAGAGGAAGAGAGAGGAAGATCTCCTATCTGATGATTCACTCCCCAAGTGATCACAACGGCTGGTGCTGTGCCAATCTGAAGCCAGGAGCCAGGAGCCTCTTCCAGGTCTCCCACATGGATGCAGGGTCCCAAGGCCATAGGCTGTCCTCTACTACTTTCCCAGGCCACAGGCATGGAAGTAGGTGGGAAACAGGGCCATCGGGGTTAGAACTAGTACCCATATGGGATTCCGGCGCATGCAAGCCAAGGACTTCAGCTGCTAGGCCACTGTGTCAGGCCCAACCCTTTATAACATTTTAATGAATACAGACAATAGAGTTTTCTGTGTCAGGGTTTTTTTTTTTTTTCCCATTGTTCTACGGGGGTATGGGGAACCCCACTCTTGTATGGTTTGCTGAGTAGTGGTTTGTGTTCTGGCTTAGTGTGAGATGGCCTTCCCCCGGGTTAAGCCAGCTCCTGACGAAACTGCCTTCAGTGAAGCTTTGCTGAAGAGGAATCAGGACCTTGCTCCCAACTCGGCGGAACAGGTGCGTCCTTGCCTTCCTTGAGCTTCCTCCTCGGTGTTAGAAGAGTGAGTGAAGGTATGGATAGGTTAACTGCTCCTCAAAGCCACACAAGGTTTTATTGTGCTCTTTCTCACTGTGTGTGGAGCTGGAGCAAGGTGAGCATTTAAAAAGACTATATAGGTTTTTATGAGGAATCTGTGGGATCAAAAAAAAAATTTTTTTTTCTAGCATATTGGAGATGAGAAGTGGTGAGCTGTTTTTGCAAACCAGCAGCTTTTTGGAAGGGATGAGGAGAAAGTACCCAGAGGGTAACGTTAGGGAACTTGTCCTGCTCTGTTTTTCAGGCCTCCATCCTTTCTCTGGTAACCAAAATAAACAATGTGATTGACAATCTGATCGTGGCTCCGGGGACTTTTGAAGTGGTGAGTTTCTCATGACTTTGTCTCGGGCAAGGGCAGCCTTGGTAGTGTGGGGATTTCCTTGACTCTTTTAATTTCTCAGTTGCCCATTACCCACATTCCAAGCCTGAAATTGGAAAGTACAACGGAATTCCTTCGTGATACTGAACTTGGGGACAACTTCTGTGCTGATGGCAGCTGGCCGGGGTGTGTCGGGCTTCCGTGTGGTTTTGGGGGGATATGGTTTTCATCCTTGCTGCTTGCAAGTGTGGGTCACAGGAAGCTGTGTAAGAGTTCTGAGAGGAAGAACTAGACACCTTTTTTCTTCTAAATTTTTTCCCTGAAATTTCTTCTGACAGCAAATTGAAGAAGTTCGACAGGTAGGCTCTTATAAAAAGGGAACAATGACTACAGGACACAACGTGGCTGACCTGGTAGTGATCTTGAAGATTCTGCCAACATGTGAGTGGGTTTTCTGTGACAGTGGGAACAGAACATAGCTTTTGTGGCTGAAGCTTAAAGTCAACTTTTTTTTTATGAGAAGGGGTGTTGGTGCAGAATAGGTTTTTTTCTTAGTGTGATAAGGAGGGCATAGGGTGTTGGGGGGCTTATGGCCAGATCCTGTAAGGCAGCTGCCCCATCCAGAATGCTGCACCTGGCATCAGTCTGAGTTCTGTGAAGCAAAAGGTGTCCTGCTGCCCGAGCTGCCTGCTGCTCTGGCCACGCCTTGGCTTCCCCTCATGAAAGTTCTTAGGATGAGGCTTCCACTAGCCCTGAATGGAGGCATAAAGTGACAGTAAAGTATTTTGTAGTAAATACAGAGGAAGTCTATGTGATAAACAGATTTCTACTTAATTTATTGTCTTTTTCCATCTAGTGGAAGCTGTCGCCGCCCTGGGGAACAAAGTTGTTGAAAGCCTGAGAGCGCAGGATCCTTCTGAAGGTTGGTATCTGTTTAGTGCACACATGTTTAGGGGCTGTAGGCTAGATGAAAGAACACGCAGTGTTAGATCTCAGGGGAGTTTCTGGCAGGGACCTTAGGAATTCAAGGTCTATTTGGTCTACCTATTAGATCTCTCCCCAAACCTCATTCTGGGTTTGTTTTTGTTTTTTTCTTCAAGATTTGTTTTGAGATGTAGAGACAGATCTTCCCGCTGCTGATTCACTCTCCAAATGGCCACAGTGCCTGGAGCTGTGCTAATCCAAAGCCAGGAGTTTCTTCTAGGTTGAACTTGTGGGTGCAAGAGCCCTAAGCTCTTGGGCCATCCTCCATTGCTTTCCTAGGCCATTAGTAAGGAGCTGCACTAGAAATGAAGCAGCCAGGGCCTGAACAGCCAACCATATGGGATGCTGGTGCTACAAGCTTACTTGCTAAGCTGCACTATCAGTTCCTTAGTACTGTATTTAAAAACTGTGTTCTCACCATCATCCTAGATTTGACTTTGATATCTAAGTGAAACATGATGTTAATAGCTTTTGGTTTCTTTTAGTTTTAACGATGCTGACCAATGAGACTGGCTTTGAAATCAGTTCCTCTGATGCCACGGTGAAGATTCTCATTACAACGGTGCCACCTAATCTCCGGAAACTGGATCCAGAACTCCATTGTGAGTCCTTTTTGTCCACTGCTGGGAAATTTGGGGGAAGTTCAAATTATAGTACTATTGCTGTTGAGTTTCTTAGATTGTTCCTATTCCCCAGGAAGCCTTCTGACTTACTGAAACTTGCTCTCTTCCTGTGTCATTTAGAAATAGTTTTATCAGCCTTTTTGGTGGCATTGTCTTTTTTACAGTCTATTTTTGACAGGCAGTTAGAGATAAGGAGAAAGATTCTCCATCCAACTGGTTCACTCCCCAAAAAGTCTGCAATAGCCAGGGCTGAACCCATCAGGAGCCCAGTTTCCTTTGGGTCTCCCGCGCAAGTGCAGGGTCCCAAGGAATTGGGCCATCCATCCTCTGCTGCTTTCTCAGGCCACAAGTAGGGAGCTGCATGGGAAATAGAACAGCCTATATAGGCTGCTGCACTGTAGGTCAAAGGATTAGGTCACAAAGCCACCATGCTATCTCCTCTGGTGACATTTTTTGGATGGGATTGCTAAAAAAAATAGTTGGAGGACTTGAAAATGACAAAATACTTAGCAGAGGAGGGTAGGTTTCAAAACTTCTGAGAGGAAGGAGAGAGACCTCCCACTCCCTGCTTTACTCCCCAAATGCCTGCAGTTGTTGGAGCTGAGCCAGGCCAAAGGTGGGACCCTGGAACTTAGTTTGTGTCCTCCAAATGGTGGCAGGAACCAGGTGTGCACATTAGGAAGAAGCTAGGACTCCCCCTGCCCCCGGCATTGCACAAGGGATAAGTGCATCCCAAGCAAGGGTCTGCTGCTAGGACAGCTGGCCGTCCCAAGACAGGACTTCCTACAGCTTGGCATCCTTCTAGGTCGGGGGGCGGTGTTAAACCACCACTGTTACCCCCTGCACCCCAGTTTTGGGTCTGGCAGTGAGCCTGAACTGCTTGATAATGGGGGTGTCTCCTTCCAGTGGATATCAAGGTGTTGCAGAGTGCCTTAGCAGCTATCCGACACGCCCGCTGGTTTGAGGAGAATGCCTCGCAGTCCACGTAAGTTCCTCCTGGGCCGTTTGGATTCAAGTAACCTAAACTGCAGTGACCAGCAAAAATCAGGAGACAGGAGAACGCATGGTTCTAGAATAGCATGGTTGATCTCGGCTCTATTCTAGGGTGGAAATACGTGGTTTTATTACTTCAGTTCCTGAGTTATGTCTTACTTTTTAGAGTGAAAGTTCTCATCAGACTGCTGAAGGACTTGAGGATTCGCTTCCCTGGCTTTGAGCCTCTCACACCCTGGATCCTTGACCTGCTTGTAAGTGAAGAAGGGGGCTGCAGTGGCCAGCACTCCCACAGAACAGCCACTCTGAAACCTTTGGAGTCTGACATTTGGTGAAGAATAGATGAGAAATCCAGGGTTGATTGCTTGGCTGGGTTTTTGGAGTCGCAGTAAGTGGATACCTGAGCTAGTGCCCCTTTGCCTTTTCTCTGTCATCATTCTATTGTTTGGTGGTGGAGAGGAGCTAGAACAGCCGTTTCAGAGTTCCTTCTGAACATGAAGATTGGGGGCAGACCTGAATGGCTAGTTTCCTTGTGTGATTTCAAGTTTTAAGATAGAATTGCTACCTGGGTGAGCGACTGACCAGTTTTACTCTTTCCAGGGGCACTATGCTGTGATGAACAATCCCACCAGGCAGCCCTTGGCCCTGAACGTGGCGTACAGGTAGTGTGCTGGTGCTGTTTTGGGGTGGCCTGGGATGGGTTTGCTGGAGGATGGTGCTGCATGAATTTGTCCCTGGGTTTCAGGCGCTGCTTGCAGATTCTGGCTGCAGGACTGTTCCTTCCAGGCTCCGTGGGAATCACGGATCCCTGTGAGAGTGGCAACTTCCGAGTACACACGGTCATGACGCTGGAACAGCAGGTACTGGCACAGCTCACCTGGGGGCTGTGGGACATGGCTGCTTGGCTCCCTCCACTCTGGAGGAGTCCTGGTCAGAGGGTGAAGGGATAATGGGCCCTTTGGGGATCAGGGATCAGGGACTCTCCAGGCCAGTCCTTTGCTTCAGTGCCTTCCTCTCCATCTCATGAGGATGTCCAGTGCTTGGTTGGTTTTCCTTGCTAAGTTACCCTCACTTTGCTCTGCTTCAGGACATGGTGTGCTACACAGCTCAGACTTTGGTCCGCATCCTCTCACACGGTGGCTTCAGGAAGATCCTTGGCCAGGAGGGGGACGCCAGCTGTAAGTGACCACTGTGGGTTGGGGTGTCCACACAGAAGCCATTATTCTGATAGCTTAGTATTCCTGGTCATGCCTTGCATGCTGGGACTCCATGGCCAAGGTGCTTTTCTCTTCTAGATCTTGCTTCTGAGATATCCACCTGGGACGGGGTGATAGTGACTCCTTCCGAAAAAGCTTACGAGAAGCCCCCGGAGAAGAAGGAAGGCGAGGAGGAGGAGGAGAACACAGAGGAAACACCTCAAGGAGAGGAGGAGGAGAGCATGGAGACCCAGGAGTGACCTGGCCTTTCCCCCTGCACAGGAAGACTGGCCTGAGCCAGCAGCTGCTGGGCCTGGTGTGCTGGCGTGTCTGAGGGAGAGGGGGCAGCAGGAAGAACCACAGACGGAACCACGCGTTCATCCCGCTGGGTTTGGATACTGGCTTAGCAGGACTTTCCCATCCATAATGAAACAGGATACCAACATTTCTTCCCAGTACTTTAGAACCCCCGGCTCCAGAAAGTCCCTCTCAACCAGTCAGTACCTTTGTTGAAATGTTGTGAACTCTTAGTGTCTGGGTATTTTTTTTTTCTAAGAAAAATAATTAAAGTACTTCCTAGTCAGGATCTTGGTTTTATTTATTCCTTGGTGTGTGGTGGCCTGTTTTGCTTTCTTTGACGAAGATTTCAGACCTCTGAAGCTTCTTCATATACCAGAATAAACTAGTAATCCATATTAAGCATTTATTGTATTCAGTGGTTCTAGCAACACTGCTAGTGTATTCAAGCCAGTGCAAAGAGGGTGGGCAGAGGTCACCGTTGACCTTGTCTTTGCTTGCCCTCAGTGTGAGTGGGAAACCAGGCAGTTTCAGAACGTGCTGCCCCAGCTCCGGGGACCTAGGCCTGTATACAGTGAGCCTGGCTTCTGCTCCTTCCTGGAAGAAATCTGGGGGGGCCCTAAGCAGGAGGGTAAGCCTCGCGCTTAAAACAACCCACACGGCTGCCTTGTGCGGGGAGGAGCTCCCGTGCAGCCGGTGCACAGTGCTTGGCCACTCTGCAGTCCCACGTCCATCTTCAGCTATTTGCTGGGTGACCCAGAGGGGTAAACCCCAGAATCCAGCATGGCCCTCCTGCGGGCCGTCTCCTTGGCAACACTGTGGTTGAGCCTCCTCAGCCGCTCCTGTGAGACAAAGGAAGATGTGGAAGCTGGTAATGGGCTTGGTCCAGCTCGGTCTCTGACAGTTTAACCTGCTTGACAATCCCTCCTCCCAGGGCGGGTGATGTCAGGGCTTACCTGGGCATTCTGCAGGATGTTGTTGACCAGCACAACCCGACGCCGGGCGTTGAGCAGCTTCTTCACGTAGGGGTCGAGGTCCAGGGCCACCTTCTGGTCCTCGTTGATCCGACACAGTTCTGCAGGGTCAAGGAATAGCAAATGGCTCCCCTATCCTCGGGGGAGGTGAGAGGGAGAGTGGCCGGCTCGGGGACCGTCCCCGGTGTGCTGCAGGCAAGGGACAAGCAACCCAGGAAGGGGGGCGCGGGGCGCGCTCACCCGTAGCCAGGTTGTCAATTTGCTCCCGGAGTTCTACCTGGCTCTCCCTGCCAGGAGAAAGCAGTTAATGGGGCTCGCGAGAGGAACGTTCCCACACAGGCCCCACTGCTCCTGCCCCGCCCCCCACCAGCCCCCCAAAGTCACGGGGGTCCCAGCCGCAGTCTCCGCCCTACCTCGGCCTCGCCCCCACCTGACAGCGTGAACGTGAGAGTCGAGCTGCTGCACAGCCGGCCGCAGGAACTCGAGGAGTCCCTCGGCGAAGAGGTCGCGGCCCGAAGGTCCCGCCACCGGCGTCCCTGCACCAGACACCGCCGCAGAACCAGTCGCGGCCATCACGACCCGTCTCCGCGCCCGGAACCTGCCGCGAGGGCCGCCGGGAGCTGGAGGCGCCCAGGAAATGGCGTCGCCGGCCCTGGCGTGGGGATTCCTGGGAAATGGAGTCCGCGAAGGGAGGCGACCGCGCAATGGGTCCCCAGGGTGGCAGTTCTTGGCGGCCCTAGAATTGGGCGAATTTAGTTTCCAGACTTTAGGAGCCGGGATAAAGGAAAGATGCTTTGAGTTGAATACTTTTTGTTTCCTCCAAAGGCATCGATAAATACTAATTAATACCCCCAGCTGACTATGTCTTTCTCCCACGTTAACTTTTTTTTTTTTTTAAGATTATTTTTATTAGGGAGAAGGAGATACAGAAATATGTTCCCTCCGCTGGTTCACTCCCCATCGGCCCCCATGTTAACTTGATGCATAAGGCTGTTGGTATCTTATTCATCCACCAAAAGGAATGGAACTGTGTAGAGGCTCCTACATGGATGAACTGCTAAGGGAAATGAGCTGTTTGAGTTCTTTGGCTTGGTTTCCCAGAGGAGTCAAGTGCATTCAGATATGAAGTGTAGACTTAGTGTGCGTCAGGATGTAGAGGGGAGGTGGAGTTTAATGGGCCCAGGGTTTCAGTTTGCAGAGAAAGTGTGGAGGTGGGTGATGGTGCCGGCTGCATACACTGTGAAGAGACTCGGCGTCACTGAATTGTACCCTTGAGATGGTCAAGGTAGAAAAACCTTAGTTTACATAGATTTTATTATAATAGATATTTTAAAAAATTACTCAGACTGACATGGCTGGCCCCCAGTCCTGGTGGGTATTGCGGCCTAGCCTGACTGGCCTGCGCCCATTCTGACTGTCACCAGTGGGTAAAATAACCTAGCTCAGCCTGGGCCACACCCTGACCCAGCTCTCATGTAGTGCTGTGACCTAGCCTGGCCTGTCCCACACCCATTCTGGCTCTTGCGAGGACCGGCAGGTGCTAGAACCTGGCCCAGTGTGGCCCATCCTCAGACCTAGCCCACACGCATGCCAGGGGGAGCTGCAGCTTTGCCCAGCCTGGTCCATCTGCAGCCCAAGCTCTCACACTTACCGGTGGGAGCTGCGGCATAGCAGGAGTGTTCCCAGAGTTCCCATACCATGTCTATTCCCAGCTCTGGGTTTTGCGCATGTGTGGTGGGCAACTGCTTCAAACCAGCCTAACATGGTCCACCTGCAGTCTCAACACTTGTTGGCAGATGTTGCAGCCCAGCCTAGCTGTGTGTGACCATATCCTGTCCTAGCTCTTGTGCATGTCAATGTGCACTAAGGCCTGGCCCAGCCTGGCCCAGCCCTAGCCTTAGTTCCTGTGCTCCCCATGGGAGCTGTGGACTAGGAGGGGAGTTCCCCAAGTTTCCCTATCAGGCCTGCTCCCAGCCCCAGCTCCTACTAGTGTCAAGTGAACGCCTGTTAGGTGAGTTCTGAGGTCAAGCCTGGCTTGACCCATCACTGTCCCAGTCCTCCATGTAAACAGGTGCTGCAGTCCCAGAGAGGCAAGCCCACACTTCCTCTACAGAATCTGCCCCCAGATCCACACTCTGGTGGGTGCTACAGCCTAGCCTGAAACTCACAGATGGGGTACTGTGGCCTGCCCCAGCCAAGTATGCCTTCTAGCCCCAGCTTTTGTGAGCACTAGCAGGTGGCAGGTGATGTTATTTAGCCCAGCCCAGGTCTCCGATGTGTGTAGGTGCCTTGACCTGACCCAGACATTCCTTATGGTTCCCCAGGCCCTCACTGCAAACAACTCTGCTTCAGCTCCCTTGCCTACCTCTGAGTACAGTTGCCTGGTCCGTGGAGGAGCATTCCACGGAGAATGATTCTTTTCCTATAAAACATGCCCTCAGCCACTCCCACCTACAATACATTCCCTGACCCTTCCCTGGGCAGTCTGTAGCCCCATCCCCCAGCTGAGAGCTGGGGTGGCATGTCCCAGCCTGGAATTCCCTGTTTTTCCCATTTACCTTTTTTTTTTTTAAAAGATTTATTTTTATTATTTTTTTCATTGGAAAGGCGGATATACAGAAAGGAGAGACAGAGGAAGATCTTCCGTCCGATGATTCACTCCCCAAGTGAGCGCAACGGTCGATGCTATGCTGATCCGAAGCCAGGAGCCTCTTCCGGGTCTCCCACGCGAGCGCAGGGTCCCAAGGCCTTGGGCCGTCCTTGACTGCTTTCCCGGACCACAAGCAGGGAGCTGGAAGGGAAGCGGGGCTGCCGGGATAGAACCGGAGCCCATATGGGATCCCAGGCGTGCAAAGCGAGGACCTTAACCACTTGTGCCACCGCGCTGGGCCCTCCCATTTACCTTTAAACAAATAATAAGTAAGCAAGCAACCATGATGTGCACTGATACAGTTAACACAAATTTGGCATTAACCAGACTCAGGATCCCCCGTCAGCTACTGGCAAGTGTAACACTTGCCTAGATACAAGGCAACCTAGGTGGTTGCCTACAGCTGGGCTATTATCTTCAATTTCTAATGGATTTCTGAGGCTATTACACTATTGCAAGTCCAGTACCATCCACATTCAGTTCTCCACCATCTCTCGAAATATCTTACTGACTTCAACTGAAACATTTCTAGGTCAGACCCTCCACTCAAGCCATTTGAAATGTAATTTTTTTTTTTTTTTTGAAGAACTGGAAAGGCAGATTATAGAGATAGAGAAATCTTCCATCTGCTGGTTCACACCCAATCCAAAGTCAGGAGCCAGGAGCTTCTTGCAGTTTTCCCAGCTAGGTGCAGGGCTCCAAGCCTTTGGGCCATTCATCCTCCACTGCTTGCCCAGGCCACAAGCAGGGAGCTGGATGGGAAGCAGAGTAGCCAGGACTCGAACCGGCACCCATATGGGATCCTGGTAGATGCAAGGGGAGGTCTTTAGCCACTAGGCTATTGCACTGGGTCCAAAACCTCTCTTGAAAAGATTTATTTGAAAATCAGAGATACAGAGAGAGACAGAAGTCTTCAATCTGCTGGCTTACTCTCTAGATGGCCACAATGGCTAGAGCTGGGTCAAGCCAAAGCAGCTTTATTTGGGTCTCTCATGGATAGCAGGGGCCAGAACACGATTCATCTGTTGTTTTCCCCAGGCTATTAGCAAGGAATTGGATAAGAAGTGGAACAATACCCACAGAATTCACTGAGAAGCTAGTGTTTTTTTTTTTTTTAAGATTTATTTATTTTTATTGCAGTCAGATATATATATAGAGAAAGAGAGACAGAGGGGAAGATCTTCCGTCTGATGACTCACTCCCCAAGTGATCACAACAGCTGGAGCTGCAGTGATCTGAAGCCAGTAGCCAGGAACTTCCTCCAGGTCTCCCACACAGGTGCAGGGTCCCAAGGCTTTGGGCCGTCCTTGACTGCTTTCCCAGGCCAACAGCAGGGAGCTGGATGGGAAGCAGGGCTGCCAGGATTAGAACTGGTGTCCATATGGGATCCTAGTATGTTCAAGAGGAGGACTTCAGCCACTAGGCTACTGCACTGGGTCCTCCGCTGAATTTTTAACTTGCTTTATTGCTTCCTTCAGTTTCAGTAATTCAGCTTAATTTTGTTTCATTGTTGCTATTTCCTGCGTGATGAATTCTTTAAATGCTCTTTTCCAGGAGAGTCTTCAGTAATATTCATTGTGCCTCTCTCTTTTGCTCTTGGTCATTGTACTTCTGGTTAGCAGATTCTTCTCCTTGGGGCAGGTTTCTAAGCTGTATCACCCACAGATCTACAGTTCAATTTTCCATATTGTGGTTGGTACACGATTCTTTGTTCGTAGTTACTTGTGCCAGTCCCTCCAGCGAGTTCCAGGTCTGGGCTCTCATGACTTCCACCACGGTCTCTGTAGCCCCAGCTCCTGGCTCAGCACCCTCCACCTCCTGTGATCCCGTGCTGTTGTTGCACTGTTGTCTGTACGTTTCTCCCACTTCCGGTTTGTGCAGTTTCCAGGAATAGGGAGACACCAAAAGTCCCAAGTAGCTAGGTTTTTGGTGGTGCTGATCTTGCTGGAACACGCTGGCTGTTAGATCTGAGGGCCATATGGACCTATTTTGAGTCCTAAGATGCCAAAGTCAGTATTATTTTTGATGGGGGACCAGTGAAATGCAATGAGCTCAGTGAGCTTGCTCCCAGAATAGGACATCTGCAGCTCACTGTCGTCCCTGCAGTCTCAAAGCCTTTGCCACACTGTGCAAAATAGCACCTGATGTGCCACTGCTGGAATTCTTTATCTGCTGGCTGTTAGTTCCCGGACCTATTTTGGATGGAATCTAGGATGCCACATCATTGGAATTCACTGAGCCAGAAATGAGTTCGCTCCCAGCTCAGTGCATATACACTCCTGTCCCAAAGCTTTTTCTTCCATACACAAGATGGTGCCTGATTCAGCTCTACTGGGAGTTTGAGCTTTGAAATGTATGCTATTTCCGCATCACCTTTTTGGGATCTGCTGCTCTGTCTCTGCTCCTGGTCAAATCAAACAAACCAGCAGGACGGGCAGTTCTTTGTCTGGGTTCACCTCCTGCGCTCCCGGTGAACTCCCTTTCCCACCTGGCTGCTGGTGGAGTTCTGGCCGCTGGTGCAGCTCAGATAGCGGCTGGCTGAATGCTGCTGGGATGTCTGGTCACTGCAGCACCACACCGTTGCGTCCACCGCTTTCCTGTGTCCATCAGTTTCCAGGTGCCCCTCTGTTGTCGGCATGTCCTCTCCTATTTCCTGGAATGTGCCCTCTCTGCTTCACCCCGGTTAATATTTCTCCATCTATGTAAACGTGTCCTCACCCTATTCCACCATCTTGATTCTCACAGTCTTTCTTTTAAAAAGAGATCCAAAGAATGGTGTCTGGTAATGGCTTCACATGGCGAGAACCTGTGCAGCAGGCCTCTTTATGCCTGGCCAGTTCAACGGACAGAGATCAGGCTGACGCCTTTTGGTGCTTTGATGAAGCAACTGCAGGTGTAGCAGTGTGCACACATGCTGGGGAAGTTCGGGCAGAATGTCAGGAGGCCTGGAGTTGAGCTTTCTCCTCAGCTGCTGCTGTGAGAAGGCTTCCAGCCCCTGTGAGCACATTTTCACAACTGCTGCTTGACACAAAGCTGTGAGGGACTGAGGCGTGGTCCTGGCCTTGGCAATACCGAGGTGACCAGAGGCTTCTCTTCCCACTTGCTTATTCAAATCTGGCTTTTACTCTCAAATTCAACTCTCTCTCTTTCTCCATTATATTCAAAGAACAAGGTGGGCTTAACATACCACTTAAGATTATTGAGCATTACGCAGTTTTCAAAACAACAAACACCTTAAAAATAATAAATCAGTCTGCCTTGACAAATTGCAATCATGCTAATGAAATTCGAATCCTCTTTTAAGGGTCGTGGCCAAAATCCAAACTGTGGGACAACCTTCAGAAAAACTGGAATGTAAAATGTTGAGTTCTACTTAGATATCATCAATATCTTCATCATCATCTCCAATGTCATCAAACTGGATCTCATCATCATCTCCTGGACCAAATGTATCCGTTTCATTGATCTTCGCGTGCTCTGGAAGCTCGCCGTATGCTTTCAGACTTCTAGCTTCATCCGCATTGTACTTTAAAATTACATCAGCCTTATTGTCCTGATAGTCTCGGAGGCCAATCAGTATAATGTCTGAGGTATTTATCCAAACCTTCTTCCTCAATTTCCCTCTGATGTGACACAACCTCTTTACCCCATCAAAACACATTGCTTCTAACCGTCCATTCCCCAACATTTTGATTACTTGAGCATACTCCTGTCCATCTTCTTTGAATACCAGTTCTCTTTTTTCAGATTCATTTTCATTCTTACCTCTGCGCCTATTTTTACCTCCTTTTCCTTTATTCTTCGGCATGGCGGTGACGATGACCTCGAGGCGGTTCGGATTGCTGTGCTGGTGGGTGGACGAGGTGCCCGGAGCGTGCGGGACGAGGTGCCGGGAGCGTGTGGACGCGGTGCCCGGGAACGTGCGGAACGAGGTGCTCGGAGGGTGCGGGACGAGGTGGCCGGAGCGTGCGGAGCCGGGTGCCCGGGAGCGTGCGGGACGAGGTGGCCGGAGCGTGCGGGACGAGGTGCCGGGAGCGTGTGAACGCGGTATCCCGGAGCGTGCGGCGCCGGGTTCCGGGAGCGCGAGGACGACTCTCAGAAGGACCGCCGGCGCCCACGCTCGGCAGCCGCTAATGGCGTCGCGGATGCCGCGTAGCTTCGTCCCGCCTCCGGAAGCCCCCCTCCGGAAGCCCGCCTCCGGAAGCCCCCCTCCGGAAGCCCGCCTCCAGAAGCCCGCCTCCGGAAGCCCGCCTCCGGAAGCCCGCCTCCCGCCGCCGCCCAATTCAACTCTTAATTCACCTTCCCCTCCCCCTCCCGCAAATCTTTCCCTGTCTGATGAATGAGTTTATCCTGAGCTGGAATCAGTCTCCCACTGAAGGATAAATGAGTGCTTCTTAGCCTAAGTGGACAATCAAGAGAACCCTTAACAATAACAAAAAAGAGGACTCTTTACAGTCCCAGCCTGGCCGGCCTGTGTAATACACTGAGGACCAGGGCTGGGGGTTGGTGGCGTCTTGTTTCCACTGTCATCATCCTACTGTCCTTGTCCACCGAACACACGGTCAAGGCCCCCAACATCGCCTCCTGGGTCACTAGCCCAAGTTGCACAGGTGGGACAGCGACCAAAACAAGAGCAGGAACTTCCAGCCCTTCTCCTGCATCGCCCTTGTGGTCAGCAAGCCTGGGCAAGTCTGGTGGCTCTGCCGAGATGAAGGAAGGCCACTGGAGGGCTCCTCAGAGACTACAGGTTGGTCTGGAAAAGGTCCACGGCCAAAAACCAGGAGATACTCTACTGTGATTCGTGCAGGGAATGCGAGGCGGGGAGTGCTCCGTCTCCAGAACCTCGGAAAATGGAGCTTAGGCGCCCTTGCCACTCCCAGATTCCTTAAAAATTCCACGGGCAGGGCCCCAGCAAGGTGGCTGAGCGACTAAAGTCCTCGCCTTGAACGCACCGAGATCCCATATGGGTGCCGGTTCTAATCCTGGCAGCTCCTCTCTTCCCATCCAGCTCCCTGCTTGTGGCCTGGGAAAGCAGCCCAAAGCTTTGGGACCCTGCACCCGCGTGGGAGACCCGGAAGAAGTTCCTGGCTCCTGGCTTCGGATCGGCATAGCATGGGCCGTTGCGCTCACTTGGGGAGTGAATCATGGGACGGAAGATCTTCCTCTCTGTCTCTCCTCTCTGTATATCTGACTTTCAAATAAATAAAATCTTTTTTTAAAAAGATTTATTTTTATTATTTTTTTGTTGGAAAGGCTTTCCTCGACTGCTTTCCCAGGCCACAGGCAGGGAGCTGGAAAGGAAGCGGGGCTGCCGGGATTAGAACAGGCGCCCATATGGGATCCCGGGCGTGCAAGGCGAGGACCTTAACCACTGCGCCACTGTGCCGGGCCCCCAAATAAATAAAATCTTAAAAAAAAAAATTCCATGGGCAGCGATAATAGTTGACTTCACAGAAGAGGCGGTCAGGTCAGGCCCACTCCCAAGGCTCCAGTCCTGTACTGGTCCCTTGACTATTTTCGGGCCTTCGCCACTCACAGTAGAGCCTGGGTCGGACAGGTTAAGGTGCTGCTACCATCGGGGCTAAGGAGAGATGAAATGGTTGTTCTGCAGCCTCAGAGAATGGGGAGCCATGCCTGCATTGTGCATGTGCTGTTCAAAGGCCTTCAGTGTTGGGGGAGGAGGCACTGGTACAGCACTGAAGACACGACTTGGGAAGCCTGCTTCATTTCTCAGCTTCTGGTTCACATACACTGGGAGGCAGTGATAATGGCTCAGTTACTTGTGTCACCCATATGGGACACCAGGTCACGTTCCTGGCCTATGCATTTGGAGGGGTGACAGCCAATATGAAGCACCTTTCAAGTAAGTAAAAATGCTGTGGGTCTGGTGATATAGCCTAGCGGCTAAAGCCTTCATCTTGCATGCGCTGTGATTTCATATGGGAGCTGGTTTCTATCTCGGGTGCTCTACTTCCCATCCAGCACTCTGCTTGTGGCCTGGGAAAGCAGTGGAGGATGGCCCAAAGCTTAGGAGACCTAGCACCCTTGTGGGAAACTCAGAAAGCTTGTGGCTCCTGGCTTCGGATTGGGTCTGTTCTGTTGGGGCCTTTTGAGGGGTGAAGCAGCAGAGGGAAGATCTATTTCTCCTCTCTGTAAATTTGACTCCCCCCCTCCCCAATACACAATATCCTTTTGTCACCATTTAAAGTCCAAGTTCTTTAACAGACCAGTGGAAATCTGAACAATCTTGGCTGTCTACTGCCATGGAGACCTTGGACATTCCCTCAAGCGTTTTTTAACCATTCACCTATTGTTGCTCTTTGCTTACAACTTTTTAAAAATATTTTTTGAGGAAAAAAAAACCTTCCATCAACTCTCCAAATGGTTGTAAACGCCAGAGATGAGTGGATCTGAACCCAGGAGTCTCCTCCAGGTCTTCCATGCTGGTATAGGGTCCCAAGGCTTTAGGCCATCCTCCACTACTGACCGTCCAGGCCACAAGCAGGGAGCTGGATAAAGTGCAGCAACCAGAACATACACTGGTGCCCCCTTGGGATCCCAGCACTGCAGTGAACACACTGTGCTGTGCCACCATAGCAGCCCCATTAAAAATTTTTTTTATTGGAAAGGCAGATTTACAGAGAGGGAGAGACAGAGAAAGATCTTCCACCCACTGGTTCACTCCCCAAGTAGCCTCAATGGCCAGAGCTGAGCTGGTCTGAAACCAGAAGGCAGGAGCTTCTTATGGGTGTCCCTCACAGATGCAGGGTCCCAAAGTTTTGGGCCACCCTCTACTGTTTTCCCAGGCCACAAGCAGGGATCTGGATGGGAATTGGGGTTGGATTAGAACTGGCGCCCTTATGGGATCCTGGTGTGCAGGGCCCATGAAGTTTATCCACTTGAAAGACAGTGACAGATCTTTAACTATTTACTACCCAAGGTTGAAACTGTGTGGGGCAGTAGCCAGAGCCCAATTCTTCACCCTAATCTCCTTCCACCCCACCCATCATTCCCCTTAACCTTCACTCCCAAGACCCAGCCCCTTACTCTTATCTGTGCTCCTACACCCTTCTTATTCTAGCCAGCCAGGATGCTAACAGCTGTCACGGGCCACAGGAGGTTCTAAGGACTGACAGATGGAGATGAATCAACTCTTCCCCAAGATGGGAAGGTAGAGAACGACGCCTCGCTCAGTGCTCCCTCCTTTAGTGAGACACTGTCTTTGGATATTCCCTGGCTCCTAGTTCTTGCTGGAGTAGGGGATGTGGTAGCAGTAGTGGCTGGGTGGGGGTCAGGAGGTCCTTGTGCTTCAATATTGGGGGTTCAGCTCTACGTAGCCACTCTCCAACTCCTGGGTGCTCCATGTCACACAGGAGCAAAGTTTAGGTTTGACTATAACTTCCTTCCTGTTCCCCAATATACACACCTCTCAAGGGTTTAGGATGCCAGGTAGCCCAAAAGCAACCCTCTTGATTCAAGATGATCAGGTTATTTTCCCTTATATAGCTCAGGCTAAAAGGGAACCAGCACCACAGCCTAAGGACCACAATGTTGACCCCCCTATGTGGCTATCAATGCACATAGTAGCAACTTCGATCAAATCTGAGCTGCTACCACATGCAATCTGATTTTTGGTCTTTGGCCATGTCAAATGTTCCCAATTTACTACATCGCACCATGAACACACACTTTTGGGCTCCAGATTTTCTAAACACTTACAAGAGGCTATTAAAGATGTAGAACAACTTTATCTCAGAAACCTAGGCATTAGGGAGGAACACTGGCTCTTCTAGGACCTTTTTTGTGAAGGAACAGAGATGAACAGACGAACGAAGATAATCAGAGTACGTAACAGGTGAAGGGAGGCAGAGGTGGGAAGAGGGGGTATCCTAGCCATAAGGCCAACACATTCATGTTCAAAGTCTGGGGGGGAGGGGAGGGCAAAGCCCAGCCAAATCAAAGGGAAAAAGGTTTTTATACAACACAGTATCAAAAAGGAAAAGGAACACACTAAATCCACAACTGGTGGCAGCTAAGTCCACAGCCTGTTATGATGATAGGTCCTTCCAGCATCAATCAGGTTTCATTTCAACTGTTATCTCAAGATTATTTACAAACGTGGTGACTTATTAAGAGTCTCCCAAGGTCGGTGGGGCAGGCTTCAATCGTTGGTCTCGGGGTCTGTCTGCGCCATGTAGGCATCCAACTCGGCATCCAGGTGTCCTTTAGTTTTTGACATGTATGCATCCAGTTGGTTGTCCAGCTGCTCCTTCGTCAGCACAGGGCGAGTAAGGGCACCTCTCCCTCGGCCACGGCCTCTGCCTCTGCCGCCAAAGCCCCCTCTTCCCCGACCTATCATACCCCGACCTGGTGAAGCAAAAAAAAAAAAAAAAAGAAAGAAGCAAGTTACACATAGGCACATAGGCTTAATGGATGCTATAGTAAATGCCCCCAAGACCAGGGGGGCCTAGCTGAGTAAAGCTGAAGGGCAGGGTAAAGGAGAAATCTGGAAAAACGAACACAGTGGATAGAAAGCAACACATGGAAAGCACACATAATGAATTCCTATTACATGTGCAACTCTAAATGGCATTTAAAATGTTATTCTAGCAACAAAGGGCAAATAATTGCCAATTGTAATAATTAAAAATCCTTAATCTTTCCTAAGACAAAGCTATCACATAAAGTTTGAGACTCCTCTACTACTTGATAATTGAAATATATTTTAGGTAACCCCATAGAGTAAGATAGAGAGGAAGTGAAAGGGCACAGAATCAGGAGTGTGAAGGTAGTTTTACTGAAGCTTTACTGGATACCCTTCTGGAAAGTTACCTCATCTCTACACTTAATCCACCAAACTGATCCCACGTGTCAGATGGGGAGCTCTCCTGACACAGGAGTAATGTTGGGAGATGGGAAAAACATTTGAGCAGTCCCAGCCACTTCCACCTCTGACTCCAGTCACCCTAGGGCAATTCTGGTTATCTGAGAGGTAGTTTCAATGCACTTAACAAAGCACAACCTTTTATTTTAATTTTTTTTGAAAAGCTACTTTTGTCTCTGCCATCCCTGTGATGTCTCTCTCAGAAACCAAATCAAGATAATTTGGCAAACATGGTATTTCATCCTGAAACTCAAGCTAGCTGGCAGTTCACTTAATAAACCAAGTAGCACATAATAGGAGAGAAGAAAATGAGCCCTGGTTATCAGATTTCCTTTCCTAAGCTAACATTCCTTGGCAGCTTCATGGGCATGAGCTGTGGAAGGTCCACTACACACCTTGAAGGGACCAAAGAGATATAAACAAGAAATCTGCAAGAACAGGTCTCCTCTTCCAAAAGGTGCTGTTGGAAGCCTCATGCTAGGTGACAAAGCTCCCACAGATTTGGCAGCGACACTACCATCACATTAAATTTTTTCCAATCTAGGTCATAGAGTCACAAAATGAGTATCACCAAGTTTTCTCAAAGGTGTAATCATCAAGGGTCAGTTAAGTTTCTGACAAGGATATCATCTTACTGTTTCCCCGATTAGAGTCAGCCTGAGTTTCTCACAGGCATACTGAACTTACTTGCCTTCAGAGACAAGGCCTAGCTCCAAGTCTCACTACTCTAACTCTGGCTTTGTTCTCACACATCTCCCTGCTCCTTACTCTTACTGGATTCAATCAGGATTTGGGGGCTACGGGGACCAACTGTGTGGTAATGATTCAGCAGAGACAGAAAGGTAAGACCCCAGCTGCAAGAGCCTGGAACACTATATAAAATCTGGCTAGCATGCACCTGACTGGTTTTCTGGAAAAAAACAAAAACAAAACAAAACAAAACAAAACAAAACAAAACAAAACAAAAAAAAAAAAAAGAAAAAAAAAAAAGAAAAAAAGGGGGGAGAAAAGACAGACTTTTGCACTATTAGCATGTGAATTATAAAAATAAGCCAGTTTTCAAAAAACAAAACAAGACAAACATACAAGCCTGCCCTATGACTTGAAGCTGTGCAGAAAGGTGGCTCTGAGTTTTGAAGGGAGGAAAATAAAAGGGAGCTACTCTCTGAAGTCGGTAGCTGACTAACCTCTACCACCGATTCCGCCACGACCCATAGCTCCACGCCCTAGGCCCCCTCTCCCAGGACCTCCACGACCTCGAACACCACCTCTTCTTAAGCCCATTCGGGGAGCTACGGCTCGTCCACCTCGGAGCAGGTTTTGACCTTGGAGAGGAGGCACACAATGTATATGCAGGTAAATCCAAGAGAAACAAAGTAGACTCTAACCAAAGGTAGGCAGTGAGGGTTAAATGAAGAGTAACTGAGTTAATTTTAAGGCTGGGTGGGGCAAACTACACACTGCAAGCAGATTAAGCTGTTCTTTAATCAATTCAACAAATCTAACCACAGTCCATTTTTGGAAGAAGCTGGGAGTTAGTAAGTACATACATTTGCTATTTACTGAATAATTAGACACCTAGCTTTACAGATTTAAAGTAAAATAAATGCTATGGTTCCTGCTCTCAACACATTCTTGTAGGATTAAAATAAGAACTACACAGGGACGCTATAATAGTGCCCAAAACATAAGATGTAAGGTAAGTGCTATGGGTCAATTTGTCCTCTCCTTTAGATATAGCAGAATTTCACTAGTATCAGGAACAGAGATGGGTAAGATACAGGTCAAAAGACCTGTACGAATTTTACATCTAAATCATTTGTAGAACTTCAATGTGCTTTGATTCAAGCAGCAGCAGGGTGTTTTAAAATGGAATGGAGATGACATGAATTACCTGTTGTTACGCAGGTCATAGCCTCTCACCATTGCACATTATCAGAAAAGGAATGGTATCGATAAAAGACATGCAGCACTATTAAAAATATGCGATTTCAAAAGTTATTATATTAATACAAAATTCAAGCTTAAAAGATGTTAAACAAATGGGTCCATAAGCAGCCCAAGAAAAAGGGGAAAGGAGCAGGGCCCAACAATGATCAGGCACATGGTACTGACCTCGGAGCGACATCCCGCCCCTAAGAAGGGTTCTGGTGGCACGTCCCCCACGTAGTCCTCCTCTGGGCAAGCCTCTCTGAATTATGGGCAGGCCTCGTCCTCCGATTGCTCCCCTGGCCAGGGCCCCTATGGGTCGGCCTAACCGTGCCTGGATGTTACTCTTACCCAGGCGCTGCTTTAAGCTCTTCTGGAAGAAAAGGTGTTAAGGGATTGAGATCAAAAAAGCAATCCAGTGGGATTCGACAATTCAAAGTGCAGAGAAAAAGCAAGTGAGGTGTTTGGTGTGGAAGGGTAGAAACCTGCTGTGGGTGTTATAAGGATCCCAAACCAAAGCGAGCCTTTGCCTCAGAGAACATGGGATAAAAGCAGAATTCTGATCCAGAGCAGCAACTCTCAGAAGCTGTGGATGTTCCCATGAAATTAGCATCACCATCAACTGCCTCACTAGCTTGGCCACAGAAGTCATCCAATGCCAGTAGGAACTGAGGCTGCAGTAAGGACACTCCACACAGCTCAGTCCTGGATTCTGTTCACAGGTTGACAATGACATGACTTAATTCATACCTGCCCAAGCTCTACCACTGTCTTCAAAGGCTTACTCAAACACCACACAAGTTGATCACACTCTGGGCAAAATGTAAATTACAAGTTCATTTGCGTTGTGACTTAAGAACACGATTGATCTCTCAGAGAGGCCAGTGTGCTCCATTTTTCCTCTGATTATCTATCTCCAGACGATCCACTTTTTACCTTAAGATGCAAATAAACACAAAAAGTCAAACTTCCTTCCATCTCTTCAAGTTGTAATTTCAAGTCTACACTTGAAACAGCTCTCATACTCTGGTATAATATCCTTCTAAAAAAATGAATGTGGCTCATAAGCAAAAAAAACTCAGGGCCACAGGAGGATGTGGACAAAATTAGTTATTTTCAATAATCTATTTTTCAAAATGAAAACACTGAAGACCAATCTCAGAAAAATTCCTGCAAGGAAGGGAGGACAGGATAGGCTTGAACACAACTAAGAGCTGAGTCCTAGAAAGCCTGTTTTTCTGTTAAGTCATCAGTTACTATGAATGAAAAGTTCTAACAGGTAACTAACCAATGATTTTTACCCCCCTGCAATCATTTCCCTCAAATGTATGTTCTAAGGCATGATAAGCAAATTGCTTCTGGTCAGAGAAAGTTCTACAATATGCACCAGCACACACACAGGTGTAACCACCCCTAACGGACTGTCCTTGGCTCCCCTGATAAGCATGTGATTCTGAGGCCAGGACCACATTCCCCAAGGCCCTCCTGTAGCCTACCCAAAGGACCTCCATTCTCCCAAGGTCTCAGTGCTGAGCTGCTCTCCATAGTGACCAACAATACTAACACTGATGGGAACCTTAAGGAAGTCAACTGTACCAGTTTCCACTCTGAAGTCGTGCTTTGCAAGGTAACCACTTGCCACATTGGTTATTTAAACTAAGTATCAATAAAACTTTGAAAACGTAAGATCATTTGTACTAGTTACATTTAAATTCTTAATAGCTACACGTAGATAATGGCCACCACACTGGACAGAAGTTACAGAATGTTTCATCATTGTAGTTATGTTCTGCCGGACAGTGCCACACCAGAAGCTACTTCTGCATATGGGGACCTCAAGTCTCTTGCTGAAAGGCCCTTTGGAATGATGCCTCAGAGACCTCTCCGGCAACTTCTACATACTTTTGGAAAACAGCGGTGCCTTCTGCTGCTCTCCTGAGCCAAGGACAAATCTGATCACTCCCAAGGCTTAAGGCAGCTGAAGCAGAAAGCCTCGTTTATTTTTGGTCAGCAAGCCCAACGATTCAGGGTGGGGGTGGAAGGGTGTTATATTTAACTGCTGAATTTATGCACAGCCATGCAGTGCAACCAGTGTTAAGTCCTTACAGTTGCATGGCATCGCCCTCTGGACGCCCAGCCACAGCTCGGACATATCCTTCCACGGCCACTGTCCGGACTGGCATATAAAGTCTATGAACAATAAAGAGCAGGCTTTATTTTCAGAACTGAAAAGGATTATCTTTACTGGACATTTTTTTTCTTTCTTTTCCCCTTGTTTAAAGAGTTTCCCTAACATTTTTAAGTACTTCTTCCCATCCCCCATTTATTCCAAGTTTGAAAAAGAACCCATCAATAAGGTACTTAGTGTTTTAACTCTACTTCAACTAATAAAAATTTCAGGTGCTGTGGAAATGAGGGTCATTCACCTCTCTTGGCACTAAAAGCCTTTGACTAGGGCACTAGGGCCCTGCGTGAGGAGTGGGGGGGGGAGAATTATTTCTCTAGCTTGTACATCATTTAGAGGTAAAGGATGTTTTGAAGATTATCTGAAATGAACTGTCTTCATGGAAAATCTACTTGAATGATAAAGGACCAGAAACAAGAGAGATTAATGTTCAATGATAACACAAATGGGTCAAACAGATGGCAAACTCCCTAAAAAACAAAGACAATAAAGGAAAAGTTGCTTATCAGTACCTGCCAGCATTGGAATTCTCTACACTTCTTTCAGAGAAGTTCCAGCTTTTGCCCTGAGCCACCTTGCCATCATCCATCAGGTTGTGACAGCCTCAGTGGACTGCCTGACTCAGATCACAGCTGCTTCCGGAGCGCCAAGATCCATGCTCTCACCTGCTTAAGTTTTAATGCTGCCTGGACAGAGGGTCTATTCTCCATCTGCTGGGCCAGTCTTCTGTTTCTGGCACTGGCTAGCTGCTGTTGTTGCTGCATCGAAGCCCGAATATTCACTGGCATCGGCTGTTTGTTCTTCAGCATATTAGTAAAGCTTCAAGGTCGAACAAAATGGATGTTTAAATAAAAGCTTTATTACAAAACATTTATTGGCATTGTCATGGCTTGCTAGACCAGGAGCTCCAGATCCCACGAACTTTTAAGTAAAGTGGTACACTTAGATCAAGGCTGAAGTGGGTTAAAGACTCCTCTGTTTTTACAGACTTGCAAGAATCAGAAACTCAAGAAATGCAGTCAGGTGCAGCACATTCAAATCAAAGTGATAACAAGGGCTCAGGTAACAAACGGCTCTGAGAGAGAGGTGGAAGGTATGAGAAACACGCAATAAGCAGATATGACAAGAAGCAGGAGATGAGATTTCAAAGACAAAGAAAGCTTAAACCTTGGAGGATCTGAGGTTCTTTGGAAAGAAATTTGAGGACTAAGTCACCTTCAAAGCCCATGACAGTATCACAGTTATACTGAAGATGCATTACAGGAATGTGTCAATGTTTAAACGTTACTTAGTAACATGCGAACGAACATAGGTTAGTACATTGTATCTGAAGACAGAGCACACAGGCTTCACAACAGCCAATAGACATTATAATCTTCCAATGCTTTAACATCAGCTTATTGTTCAGAGGTATTCAATTTTAAATAATTTATATAATAAATTAATAATAATTCCTTTGTCTCAAATGATCACTTTTTGTAACTCCACATGGCCGTTTTGGGGAAAGATTAAATTAATCATTTAAGGGCCTGTGATGACACTTCTTGATTACTCTTGTTAATGGTTAAGTTTAATGAAATGCAAGAGAAGAACACTTAACGGTAAAAGAATCCAAAGCAAAAACAAACCAAAAGCAGAATGGGAAGAAAGTGAAATGGAGCAAAGCAAGTGCCTCTTACAAGGCCCAAGAATGACATTCGAGGGCCTTTGGACATAGTTGCAGCTTGCTGCCTGCCTCTTACAGGCCAGACACAACCCTGCTGGCCTTGGACTGGGCAGCAAGCCTACTGCAGCCAGGGCCCCATGCTCCCATGCTGCACAACCCCTGTATCAACGTAAAACAAAACAAAATGAAACAAAAAAAAAAACTTGAAGAAAAGGGAGAGTGTGAGGAGTCTTTTTAAAATACATCCCACTGGATAAATATTTCAGACAGCATATAATAAAAATCTACTGATAAGGGGTTTTGAAACAACCGCCCAATTCAGTTTGTGCACCACGTAAGATGTAACTAAGAACAGAGGTCTGTAGCCTTCTGTTGGTATTTAGCTTACAACTGGTTTTTGTGCATTGGACCCCAGGGCCAGTTTAAGGAAGGTTTTCTTAGGAAGGAGCTGAAGTTGCTGTTGGCTGCCTCACCGCTCATTAAGAGACATCTTGGTGGTGCTCTTTAGCACAACTTTCGGCGCTGACTGTGCAGCCATCTTCAAATCCCGAGAATCTACAGAAAAAGACAACAAAACGAACAAGTCAGGACAACTGCCACCTTCCAAGAACGCAGGACAACCCCCCCCCCATGCAAAAGTCTGTCACTAACCACTGAGGACCACAGGGAGGTACTTCAAGGCTCATGGAAAACAACGGAATCAAAAGGCAGCCTTGCTTAAGTGTGAAAGGATCTTCAAAAAGTTCATGGAGGAGCAGGCACAATGGCGCAGCGGGCTAAGCTACTCTACTGCTCATCAAGCTCCCTGAAGATGATGGCTGAAGTACTTGAGTTCCCAGCACCTAGGGTGGAGAACCAGATGGAGATCCTGGTTAATGGTTCCAGCCTGGGCTGTTGAGACTCAGGAAAATAAATCAGAAGTTGGAAGATCTCTCTTTCAAGTAAATAAGTACATGTAAAAAAAAAAGGTTTATATAGAATTGTACACTACTAAAGACTGCATGGATTGCGAAAACTCTTTGGCACTAAAGTATCTTTCAATTTCCAATTCTCCATGAATTTTGAAGGAAAAAAAAAAAGTATTCTAATCTCAAAACTCATTTCACGTACAGAGAAGTCTGTTTGAAAGTTAACCCCAAACTATGAAAGCTTACAGGCCAGCAGACATGGAGTAGTACGTGCTGAATGTTCCAAAATGGCAGAAACAGGAGGTGCAAAGGGGATCTGGCTTTTTAAAAATTTTTTATCTAGGGCAGCCCTTCTCAGTCCCGGCTGCCCATCTCTCTGCACAGGGAACTTTCAAGAAACACAGAGATGCCTGGGTAGCATCAACCGAGAGGCAGGAGGCGCCGCCACCCAGGTGCTGCCAAGGCGCAGCCGAGCGCTGACAACCACCAGGCATGCCTCGTTTCCAATCCCCAAGGAGGGAAGAGGGACTGGGGAGGAAGAACCTTGAACGGTTTCCTGAACGGGCCTCCATCGGGGACTGAGCTCTACAAAACTTCACCCTGAAGACGCCATTGTCTCCAACCAACGTACCCCCAGCTCCCCAGGCCTGCCAAGAACCTCAACTTGGCTCAACTCGTCCAACCGTGTTGTCTTCTCCTCCCAAAACTCAACCCGGTCCCTCCCCTGCCTCGGCGAGCCCCGCCTCCTCCCCGGGGCCTCCGCATCCCCCCCGGCCCCTGCCGCGCTCCAACGCAGACACGCACCGAAAGAAACGGACGCCAGGGCTCCTCTCGGGGCTGCCACCGCGGCTGCTGGGCAGGCGGGCCGGGGACCCGCGGCTCAGGGGGAGAACGGCGCAGGGGCTCCGAGCCGCTAGCTGGGCGGTTGGGTCAGATGGCGTGAAGCAGCAGACTGCGGAGCTAGTCCCTGGCTGCTGGCTGGCTGTTCAGTTGGCCGACTTAGGTTTCTCGCCCGGCCTGCCCTTTCCGGCCTTGCGGTGCGGCCTCCACAGCTGCAGCCGCCAACTCCTGCTCGCTCTCCAAAACAAAATGGCCGCCGCGCCCAGTGCGGCATGGGACCGGCTAAAATGGCGCCGACGCCATTACGTCAGCCGTCCGACTCGCGCACTGGTGATGGTGGTGAGGGCACGAGGGCGGGAAATATTTGTCGTACGCCTGCGCGGAGCTCGGGGGCGGAGCTCTGTGGAGAGGGCGGGGCTTTGGACGAGGGCCTTAGTGGCTCCGCCCACAGAGGGCGTGACAGAGGTTTCGCCAAGTGACGGGCCTGTCGGTGCGCGCGCGGCGGAGAGTGGTGTTTAATCTGTTCTTCAGGCCTTTGCTACCCACCCCCTCAGCTAAGGCGTCGAGTTTCAAAAATCTCCAAATGAAACTCGGTCTCTGCCAGTGCTGGGTCCGAGTGCTGGGCACTGGCCTCTTTCCTCCAACCCCGCATGCTGTTGTGCTCATGAACTGCAAAGGCCTGGAGGCCTGTGCTGGGGGCACAGCCCCTTGCAGTCTGCGCCAATCCCCCGTTCATTGCCCATCTCTGTTTTTCTCTCTCACTTCCCCCAAGGTGGCCTGTTTTTCCGTCCTTTGCTCAGGTCCCTGAGGTGTGAATATAGTAGCACCACCCTACAAAGGGCTTTTTTTTTTCCCTTATGACCGGGCACACAGTTGGGCACTCAGACTTTGGAGGAATGAGTAAAGGAACGCTTGCTCTGCCCTGTAGACTTCAGGACGCTCCAGAGCAGCTTGAGTCTGTGTGTGCGTTTTTAATGAACCAGTGTCTGCCAGGCTTTACCTAAGTGAGCTTGCGCGTCCTGTGTTTATAGCTGAGAAGCTGACGGCTCCAGCCCCACTTCCAGATGAAACCTTGAACATTAGGGAAGCTGGAGTGCATGGGACTCTCCCCTGTTCAAAATAAATGGAATTGGAAGTGGGCAGCCCACACTTCTCTGCCCTTCCAGACCCACAGGAGACAGACATCAGACAGCTGGCAATAGAGAGCCTTTAATGAAATAGGAGTTACAGGGTGGGATCGCTGTTTTGCGCCCTGGGTGTGTGCTGAGGTGTGAGCAGGTGTGAGTGGGGTGAGGTGGTAACCGGGTGAAGGGCCAGGTCAGGCAGGGTGGGGAGGAGAAGGGCGCTGCCCTTGTGGGCTATCAGCTCAACTGTTCTCCCAGAAGAAGTTGTTGCAGGCCACTGTGAGAGCAGCCACCAGCACCACGTACTCCTGGAAGTCCACCTCCCCATCTCCATCCTCATCCAGCTCCTTCATCACCTTGTCGACAGCATCCGCATCCTTCTGGGCCTGTGGAGGGAGGAGAGAAGAGGGAGGGAGGGCAGGGTCCGCCAGCAGGTCCAGAGCTGGGGGAGGGGGACTGCAGAATGGGGCAGAGAAGAGCAGGTGGGCAGAGCCTCAGCTAACTGTGGGTCTTCTCCCCTCCAAGCACTGAACACTCTCTTGTGGCTCTCGGTGTGTGTCCTTCACCTGGCAGAGCTGATGGTAATGTGACAAAGCGTTGTCTCATGTAATTCTAAGGCAAGTGGTGCGCGAAGAAACACACTGATCCGTGTGCCCAAGTCACCCAGGTAGAAAAAGTAACAGGGGCAGAATTCAGATGTGGTGTAGTAAAAGAGCTCAGAACCGTGTCCTGAAGCACCTGCTTCTGCTGTGTAGCCCCTTAGCATCCTTTTCTTTTTCCTTCATCCCTGTCCAGCACGGCTCTTGGGCTTGCTCTGCATTCTTTTCTCTCCTGCTGTTTATCCAGACACTTGCTGCATGGCTTAAGGGCACCTCTTTCAGGGAAGTGGATTGCTTCAGCCTGTTTAGTAACGTTCCAGAACCCTTTCTTTTCTGGAAGACTCAATGCACTTCCTGAAGTCTACAGTCAGTCTTTCTAGGCTGTACTGATGGATCTACAGAAGGCTTAGCCCTGAGTAGGTGATTTATAAACCAGACTGCTCTGACTTCACCCGGGAGGAGTGGGAGAGACTGGAAGCACCCGGGAGAGAGGAGGGAAGTGGCTGGGGTAAGGTCCGGTGGGGCAGAGAGAGAGACCACAGGGAGGTGTCCGCTGTCTTCCCCTCCTTCCCCTGCACTCCCTCCCCCATGCCCAACTCTGCTCACGTCCAGGAAGCTGGAGAGCTCCGTCTGCAGCAGCTCCTTCAGCTCCTTCTTGCTCAGCTTGTACTTGTCCCCCTCCTTGCCCGAGTGGGCATGGAACACGTTGATGAGGGTCTCCATCGCCGTCTCCAGCTCAGAGCCCATTGTGGCAATGCACCTACCCTCCCCACCCCCCGCCAGAGCGAGGCAGTGAGCTGTGGGCCAGGTCTAGGGTGACTGGGGTGTGTGGGTGAGAACCTTCAGGCCTGGCCTGGGTCCCGTAGCTCAAAAAAAAAAAAAAAAAAAAGCCTTGAGCTGGGAGTCCTGTTGCCACTTCCCAGAGAGCTGACACCGCAGGGAAACCCCATCACACCTAGATGATCAAACCCATGTTCTGTAGCCCAGCCAGACAGCTAAGAATGGGCATGGAGACAAGAGCAGTAGGCACTGGGTGGGCTCCAAGGGCCTGCAATGGACATCTGCAGAGGCTCCTGGCTGCCAGGGCAGTGGCTGGGAGGGTGAGACAGGCAGGATGCTCACAGGACTCATGCTGTTTCCTCTGGCTCTGGTTTCTGTTTTTGCCCTGATCCTTGCCTGTGGAGTGCGGTGAAGCTCCTGCTGCTGGGGGTGGCCAGCTGGACTCTCCTCCATAGCCCACCTCACCACCACCCTGAGCAAAGAAGTCAGTCTGGTCCTTTGGTAGGCCTTGTGGAGGAGCGGGTGGCAGCCTGAGTGGGGGAGACCCTGAGCTAGACCCCTCTTTTGGCCCTTCAGCATGTGGCCTCCTGAACAGGCCTTGGTGGCTTCTCTGGGGCACTCCTTCCATGATACCCCCGCTTGACTCCTCTGCCAAACCGTCCCTCCTCTGGGATGGAGGATGGGAAGGAAAGGGAGGGAGGAACAGGCCAGCCTTGTCCCAGGATCCAGGGCTTGCAAGGAATGGGAAGAGGCAGCCCGTAGGCCAGCTTGATTGATGTGGGGACACGGAGCAGGGGCTTTGGTGCTAGTGTGTGTCAGGAAAGGAGAAGGGCTGAGTGCATGAGGGTCTGTGAGTTCAAGAGGCTGGGGTGGGGTGGGGACAGAAGAATGGAGGGGGCTGTTGAGAGGAGACTGCCAAGCCAGGGGGCCTCTGTCTCTTGGCCCCAGAGGGCAGCTCGGATATCTCAGCTCAAGTGTCACCATCTTTTCCTGGGCCTGGGGGACTGACTATGAATGGATCCTGATCAAATGACACCCCAGTTCTTCAATGGGGCCCTTGTGAGTGTCACCTGAACTCTGGACATGAGAAGTGGTTGTCACAGAGACACAGGAGACATGGAACCCAAGCCGGTTCTGATGCAGGGGATAAGGGGGTGCCCAAGGGAGGGAGGCTGGTGGCTCAGTTACAGGCCTCATCCAGCGGGGGCCTGGGATTCCATGGCAGTTCAGAGAGGGCCTAAGGTCAGGGTAGACAGGAAAACTGCAAGAGGAAGGAGTTAGGGGGAAAGAGGAATCCAGGGTCTGTGCTGAGAACTGGAAATGAGCCAGGGGGACACTTGGGAATGGAGGACTGGAAGGGGGAATAATTCTGTGGGCCCCTCTGCTTGATGCCCCGTGGTGCATACCCTGCCACCTCATCCTCCCTGGAAAGTGACTGATGAGCTAGGGGCCAGAGACTGAGGCCGCCTGGAAGCCGGCACAAACACCTGTTGTTCGGCTTGCTTCTTCTAATCCCTGGGAAGACCAGGCCTGGCTGGGCCCCCTCCCTAACTCCTGGGAGACTGAAGGGGCTTGGTAGGGGACCCAAGGGCTCACGTGGGAGAGGGCAACCTGCCTCCTGTCTCACTTGCCTTCCCTCACCACCTCCCAAAGCCCAGCTCTCCCAAATGCTCCCCAACCCTCAATGCACATGAATGCTGAGATGCCCAGGTTCTTGGACCCCCTCAAGCGCCCTCACCCCCATGGCAGGCCAGGCCCAGAGCCTAGCCCGAGTGGGGCGGGATACTCACCGTCTGCCTGGAGTAGGAGCAGGTTCCAGTTGGAGGCCCAAGGCTGTGAATGTGGCTCCTGGACTCTGCGGGACCTGTCTTCAGTCAGCCTTCCTCCGCCCACCCCTCCCTGCCAGCTCCACCCCTTGATGGACAGACAGCCCCGAGGGGCCAGGGGCCAAGAGTGGACACAGGCGCCCTCTGTCTCCCGGGCTGGAACAGGCTGGCCTGTGTCTTTGCACCCCCCCCCCGCCCCCCACCGGTTGCCACCATCCTAGCCTTCTGCCCTCCTGCTGGACCTGGGGTGTGGGGTTGGGAAGGAGGTAGGACAAGAGCTAAGGCCGGCTACTTGCAGGGTCTCAGCAGTGCCTGTCCCCTCAGCTGTGCAGCCCCTGAGGATTCTGCTGAGGGGGTGTCAGCCTAGGGGGTCTCCCTGAGTGGATCCTTTAGTGAGCAATCTAGTCTTGGGAGTCTCCTTGAAGGGTTCCAGCTGGGGTGTCATTGAGAGATTCCAGATTCCAATCTGGGGTACCCCCCATGCCCCACCCCTCCGCCATGGGGGCTGTCTCAGCCTGGGATGCCCCATTCGAGGTCTTGGACTTAGCGTCCTTTGAGGGGGGGTCTCCCTGTGGAGCCATCACCTCCCCTGCCATCCCCAGCCTGACCTGCACACTCGGGATTGGATGTAGGGGTATGGCACAGTACTCCTCCTGTCCTTACCCGCCTCCCACCAGGGTCCTGGGACAGACATGCCCTAAGACCCCTGCTAAACGGGCTCTGCCAGACACTGTGAGGCAGCGCCCTCCAGTGGGAGCATGTGGGGCTGGGGGGCAAGCCTGATAACACAGCTCCAGGCGTGATTGGGCGGTCCTCTCTTTCCAGAGACGACAGACGGCGGAAACTTGACCTCTGGGCTGGGGAGTGGCTCTTGCCTCCTCCCTGGCGCTTATAAACCTCAGCCCCGGGACGCCGCTCGCCGCACCCCATCTCCAGG